TAAATAACTCTGTAAGAAAACAATAATTTTAAAAGAGAACTTTAGAATGTAAGTATAAATGTAAATCAAGGTTATGATGATAAAAAAACAAAAACAAGTTGTACTATATATAAATGACAATTGACATTCAGTTTTTTGAAAGCGGTAATGGAATAGTAGGCTGCATGAAGATAATAATAAGGCGTATAGTTGAAGGATAGGTGTGTTAACAAAAGAACCATAATAAAAGTCAAAACATACGGTGGGATGTAGCACTGCGGGAGGTAGTTGAAACCCTGGCAGTGTAAAAACAGCTCTAGTAAAACTAAATATATAAACACATATACAAACACACACATATATATATATATATATATATAATATATATATATATATATATATATATATATATAATATATATACATATATATAAAGGAAACTATAAATGGAACTGAGAAGATTTGATTAAGGTTTATGATTGAGAATTTTTTAAAATGTTGATAATTTGGGAGTTCGCGAGAGACAGATTTTGTTTGTCAGTTTTTAAGTTGAGTGGTTTGTAGTCTAATTGAATGAAAACACTTTCCATAAGTAGTCTTTTGTCTTGGTTAGGTACTGTGGCAAGAATGACGGTGTTGTCAAAGTCAAATGTGTGGTTTGAGGATAAGGCGTGTTCAGGGAGTTTTGAAGCAGTAGAGTTCTTGGAAGTAATTGCGTATTTGTGTTGTTTGATGCGGTCTTTAAGTGGGTTTTTGGTTTGTCCAATATAAGCAGAGTTACAATTGGGGGTAGAGCAAGGAATGCGGTATACGACATTAGAACGATGTTGCAGAGGGATAGGGTCTTTTAGGTTGGAGTAAATATTGGCAAGTTTGTTGTGGTTTTTAAATTCAACTCGCAGATTGGGAATGGAGGAACGCAAGAATTTTTGAATTTTATCAGAAAGTAAAGGGATGTATGGTAGAGATCTATATAAAGGAATGGAGGGGAGATTTTGAGAAGTAGAGAAGGGAATGGAGGATGAGATGCGGGTTTTGTAGTCATTAATAAATTTTTTAATGGTGTTGGAGGGGAAGTTGTTAGATTTTTGTATCTGTTGTATGCGTCTTGTGTTTGTTTCATGTAGGCAAGGATCAGGTAGAGAAAAACATCGATGAATGAGGTTTTCGGCAACGTTGAGTTTTTGGTGAAAGGGATGTTGGGAATAGTTGTTGAGTAATCTGCCAGAGTATGTCGGTTTTGTGTACCAGTCTGTGGATAAAGTATTGTTGGGATGTCTTTTAATGAGAAGATCAAGGAAAGGGAGGGAATTGTTATTTTCGTATTCGACTGTAAAAGAGAGGTGGGGATGATATGAGTTAAAGGCGGAAAGGATGTCAGGAATAGTATCAGGATTGACGATGAGAAGAAGGTCATCGACGTATTTTTTTGTAAGGAATATGCCATGAGGAAACTGAGGAGTTATGTTGTTTAGGAGATCATTAAGAACAATGTTAGATAAGTCGGGTGCGAGAGGATTACCCATAGCTAATCCTGCAATTTGATTGTAAAATTGTCCATGGAACTGGAGATAATCGGATTTGCAACAAAGTTGTAGGGATTCAATAAATGAGGAACGGTTGAGGGAGGTATGAGACTCTAAGGATGACCAGTTATTTTCTACTATAAGAAGGGCTTTATCTATAGGGATGTTGGTAAAGAGGCTTTTAACGTCGAAGGAAACTAGAATGTAATTATCAGGAATGGTTAGGGATAATAACAGATTATTTAGATGAAAGGCGTTGTGGATATCATATGGATTGTCATGACTTTTCTCATATTATATCAACGGTCAACCATCTCTACATCATTATGAATACATTTCATTATAATGTGTCAACATGGTTCCGATCAAATTTCAAAGAAAAAGGTGTGTAATTAATGAGTGTATCAGAAAGTTCAGTATTTGCAATTTAGACACTCGATTAAAACTTGGTGGTTAGAAATGTTAAATAAATAACGAATACTGCGAATAGCGGGCCAAACACAGAGATATCAATGCAAAGAAATAATTTCATTCGAGTTATGCCGTTGTACATGAATGATTTCACCAGGCTTGTATCTTAACCCTCCTCGAATCATCATTATCAATCAACCATCGAATAAATCATTTCGAACAATTATACTCGCGGTGGACCTTTGAGCTGATGATACATTTTCGTGATCTCTGAGTGAATATTAAAGAAGTTTTCTCACAAATTAGTTGGCTAAGAAACAATTTCATTTTGAAGGAGGAAGTGGAATAATTGTAACGATTTTATCTATTCATAACAATTTGGAAATAGTTACGCTAGTCCAAACAAAAATTACAAATTACTATTATTTTTTTCTACATAAAAAAAAGTTTACATTTCTTATGTGCAATTTTATTATACAAAATATATTATTAAAATATTATTTAAATAGTAAATTTAAAAAGAAAATGTTTTTTAATCTAATAAACGATTTTATTTTCAGGATATAAATTTTTAAAATACAATTTAAGTTTTCTAATTGTTATTTTTTAACTTGTTTTTCTTCCAATTTTTCTAAAACGAACATCTCTCTATAGAGGGCAATTTTTGATTCCTGTGAGTGTCCGCTTTCTTTGAGGAGAAGTTTCATTATAGTAACTAAAATGGGCTAGTATTAGTAACCATTTAGTCTTAATTTTATTCATGTTTTGTTTTCTTATCTTGCTCCGGTCCTGGCAAATGATTAATTTTTAGGGGCGGGATGGCCGAGCGGACTAACGATTGTGCACAGCACTGCGCGTTGCCCGGCAACCTGATAACCGAAGTTAGAGACAATAAAATAATTGTTGTACCCGCTGGGGATCTTTTAACTCTGGCATTAATCCCCGCCCTCATCCATTGCCAGCGAAAACCCCGTATAACCTAAAAGGCGAGGAGGGAGAACAAAAAAAAGATTAATTTTTTATTATTATTTGGAAAGCTATACTCAAATATACAATTCCACAAGAAAAAACAACGCTGTTTAGATTAGATGATTAAAATGTTTAAGCACCGTACTATATCTGAAAATAGTCTTAGTTTGAATTAACTGCAAGACCACCAGGGTTTGCGCAAGACTAGTAGGGTCTGGTCTTGGTCTTGGTCTTGCAAAAAATTTTCTGGTCTTGGTCTTGGTCTTGCAAAAGTGCAAGACCAAGACCAAGACTGCAAGACCAAGACCAATTTTGGGCAACACTACTTATGAACAAAACTATATATAATGGTTGAACAACATAAACACACACTTTGAGGAATGAAGAACAAAAAAGAGACAAAATAGAATAAGTTCATTTCATAAAAAATCTTTATTTGTATATGTATATATATATATATATATATATATATATATATATATATATATATATATATATATATATATACACACATATACAAATAAAGATTTTTTATAAAGATACTATATACAAAACAAATAAACCTATATACAAAACAATTAAAACTATGACAAGAAACTTAAAACTATGTAAAGTGGTAAAACATTATAAATATACACTTGTAGAAAAAATAAAACAAAAAAATACATTAAATTCTTCTTTAAAATAACTCTGTGTTTCTGCAAAGAAAGCCAAATCTGATAGTAAAAACTGTTTGAGTATTCAAATGATGAATAATATGTAAATACATAATTATGTAAATCATTATGAATAGTATGTAATCACATCATAAAAGATTAGCGGATATTTGATTTTGGGACAGGAATTGGAATAGGAGCAACTTAAATGTAGATATAGAGGTGAATGCAGAATTTTTATAGGGAAGGGATTCTAGAAATTGACAGAGCGAGCAATAAAGGAGTTTTGGAATGAGGCAGATCTGTGAAGGTCGAGATCTTGTGGAAAGGGAATACTGCTGACTGGAAAGGGAATACTGCTGACTTGAATTGAAGAAGGTTGTAGGCATAAGAAACACAATGATTATTGATGATTTGATAGAGGAACGTACCTAAGAAATATTGTCTTCGGAAGGAGGGGAAGAGTCCCCTTAACTCTGTGTAGTGGTGAGAGACATGGGAGTATTTCGGGGCCCCAATTACAAATCTTACATAGATATTCATTAGCCTTTTCAGTCTATCGCGGAGCTCCACTGAGAGGTCATCATACCCCACACAGCTGTAGTCAAAGTGGGAGAAGATGTGAGAGAAAACCAGGAGTCTACTCATATGTTGAGGTAGGAGATAGCGAAAGGGATGGAATAGTTTGAGGGTAGAAATTGTCTACCTGGAGATGTGAGAAATATGGTGATTCCAGGAGAGGGTTTAATCAATGAAAAAGCCTAAATTTTTAATGGTGGAGTACAAGAAGATTGGCTGGTAAATAAGATGTAGTATGGGAAAGTCAGTATGGGATCTAAGAAGGGGCTTGGAACCGATTACAATGGCCTGAGTTTTGGCAGCATTTAACCTTAGTCCATTTACTTTTACCCAGGCACTGATTCGATCAAGGTCTTCTTGAAGGTTGACAAATGCTACCAACATCTCAGTGGGAAAAAGGGTAGGTAGATTTGAGAATCATCTGCATAACGGTGATGGGAACAATGAAGAATTGAATCATTGAATCATCATCAAAACTGGTCATTAATGTAGGAGCTGAAAACGAGAGGAGATATGCTTGATCCCATATCTTGTAGGCAGATAGCGGTTGATTTTGAATGAAAACTGCTTTGGTATGTTGTGAGAGAAAAGATTGAAAACAGATATGAAACAATTGGAGAAGGATAATGATTTTAGTTTGTTGGAAAGGATGAAAATGGTTAATTGAATCGTATTATACCATTTTTCAAATATAATTCCAAAAATACTATACTATCTTACTGTATCGATCTATCTTTTTTACAGAAAACTATATAAAATCATTAATACCATCAATTTAAAGTTATATTTATTGTTTCCATATCAATTCATGATTATACTTACTCAAATAAAACCTTAATTATTATGAATAATTTCTTATTTGATCTGTATGCTGTTTTCAGATCAAACTGGTTATATTACTGTTGGTGTCGAAGGTAATCCTGCACCCACATTTAAATTTTATAAGGTAAGCCTTGACAATATTGAATTCTATTCTGAATAACAACTAATGAAGATATATTTACAAAAACTCTAAATATCTCCTAGAATAATATTTAAATGAAGAATTGCTGTGATTTTAGGGCATGACAGAAATCATAGAGGGTGGTAGATTCAAGTTCTTGACTGATGGAGATACTAACACCATCACATTATGTATGCGAAAAGTGAAACCAAATGATGAAGGGAAGTATAAAATTGTGATTAGCAACATACACGGTGAAGACTCAGCTGAAATGCAGCTTTATGTGTCAGGTAATACATTTTTTTTACTTTGTGATTTTTATTCTCCTCATTCATCTTTAAATAATTCATTGTCAAATTTTCTCTTTTCTCTTACAGATGCTAGTGGCATGGACTTCAGAGCAATGTTAAAAAAGAGAAAATATGCGAAGTGGGGAAAAGACAAAGAAGATCCTGACTGGGGTGATCTTAAAGAAACAGAAAAACAGGTCCCCCAACTAAAAAAAGTAGAAAGGGTAATGAATTTTAAAAATATGTGTTCAATGTTTCTGGAAAATAAACTTTTAATATAGTTAGAAAAATATATGATAAAAAGTATTAATTTGTATTATATTTTTACATCATTAATATGTACTTTTAATGTTTATTCTTATTTTTTTTTTTTTCATAATCAGAAACAGGACTCATTCCTCAAACCTTTAGTTGATCAATATGCCAAAGAAGGAAAAGACAAAAAAGTGACATTTGAAGCTGTTTTTTCGAAACCTAACAGTAAACCAAAGTGGTTTTTTAGAAAAGATGTAAGTAAAAAGGCGTTTTTCCTAATTACTTTAACATTGTTAAATTATTATCTTTTGCATACAATATTAGTTACTGTTAATGTAACAAGTAAAAACCCATCAAGAGACAGAAAATCGAAGTTAGTTTATAATTGGAAAATTCCAGCCCAACAGCCTTGTGTCTCGAAAATAAAGGTAAAGAATAAAACCCCAGAAAAGAAAAAACTCAAGATTAGATTACTCTATGACATCCAGTCGCATACTCCAATAGTGTATACGATTAGAGTGATGTCATCTTGTGTTTATTTTATTTTCTGTCATTATGATACTTGAGTTGGTGAAATGTTGATGGGTTTTTTTATTCTTCACCTACATTTTAGAGACGCAAGACATTATAGTTGGAATTTCTCTATTATAAACTAATATTAGTTACATAATTTTGGATTGATAGTTGACTGTAGTGAATAATTAAAGAGAAGAATGGTTGGGGTGTTCAGTAAAAAAAAAAAAAAAAAAAAAATAGTAAAAATAAATAAATATAATTATTTATTTTTACAATTTTTTTTTTTTTTTTTACTGAACACCCCAACCATTATTCTCTTTAATATTAGTTACATTTTGATGAATGACATTATTGCATTAAAAATAATTTAAAAAAATATTTATAAATAAAAAAAACTTCAGCAAAAATTTGTATTACAGGAACTATTTCCTGGCTCAAGATATAAATTTAAAAATGAAGGTGACACCTATCAGTTAATTATATCAAATCCAAAGGTGGATGATACTGGAAAATATACTATTGAAATTGGAGGAATACAGTGTACTGGATTTTTGAATGTTGATGGTAAGTAATCTAACTCATTCATGAAAATTGTTTCTCATTAAATCTTCATTTATTTCATCTCCCTCAATTTATTTATAGGATCTCCAGAAATACCCTTAGTGCACAAGTTATAGTTGCTTATCCCTAATCATTGCTAAATATACTTTCCTACTGCCTTCATATACCTTTAATCTAGGCTCATCACCCCCTTATATCTTCCAACTTTTCTTTGATAACCTCTTCATGCCATTCTTACCGTCAAAGAGCCTGAATCTACAGTCATGATTCTTGGTCCTGGCTAAGCTGTCTCATTTCTTGAAAAGTGTTTCCTCTCTTTCCTCCTATACACTTAATATAATCCTGGTAAGAAATTCTGCAACAGCTTTGCAATCTCCTACCAGTGGATCGAGATTCATTGCTTTCTGTAGTTCTCTCTTCACAACAAACATGACCGAACCACAGGCAGTTGATTTTCATGTGAGGTCATCAGCTCCACCATGTCCAGCTCCTTTCTTATCCACTCATTCCTGGTCTTTCTAATGTCTCTCTACAAGAATTTCATCGCAGCATCAGTCATCTGGCTGACCAGCTTGTCTTGCATAACCCAACTTTCACTTCCATAAATGTTGGAAGATACCCTGACTTTTATATATATTTTTTTAGTTTCCTTGTCAACAACTTTGTGGCCCAGTATGCTATTGCAGATAAGGTAATATACCTGGTTATCTTTGGAAATTCTATTTGCTATTTCTCTGGTAATCTTTGTTGCTAAGGAGCATATCTGCCATCAGTATGATCCTGGCATACAATAGGCTTTGAACTATAACATTCCTCATATTCCATTTCCCGATGACCGTCCAACTAGTACAGTTCTTAAAAATTTTAGGAATTTCATTCGTAAATATGATGAACAAGAGAGGACATAGGCTTTCGCCCTGCCTCACACCTCTTTTAATGGGAAAAGGCTTGTACTACCTTCCATTTTGATCCTCACAACTCCTTTTGCTTCCTGGTAAACCGATTTAATAGCTGTGATAAGATCGTCTGGAACATTTTTATATCTTCCAACTCCTTTATTTTAAATTAGAAATTTACTAATGTAATATACACTCCTGCCCATCTGATTTTTATATCTTTTCCTATACCATCTCCATATAGAATCCCATTTTCTCACATTACTTCCTGTTTTTTTTACATTTAAATTTCATAGTTTTGTCTGTCTCTTACTCCTTCAACAATCATAATTTCGTTCTGCTTCGAATTTATGTATAAATCTGTAAGTAGTAATTAGGTCACATTTATATTTTATTTTTTATTAAAAAAAAAAATGAACCAGCGACCAAGAATGAGTGGTCCTCACAGGCTTCGCAGATGACCAGTCTATCACAACACGCGACAAAGGTGCTGCAGAGAGGATAATTAACTGTGTACAAAGGATCCTTTTTTTTTTTTTTTTTTTTTTTTCTTCCCTACCTCGCCTTTTAGGCTATACGGGATTTTTCCGGGCCGAGGGGTGAGGGCGGGGAAATTTAAAATCCCCTCCGGCACCGGGACGCGAACTCATACTTTTTATATCATCTCAAATCTCTGTTATCCGGTTGCCAGGCAACTAGTGGTGCTGTTACACACGCTTTAGCCTATTCGGCCGCCCCGCCCCCCGTGTACAAAGGATCCTCGCTGATATTGGTTTGGCTATTAATCCGAATAAAAGCATGGGCTTAATATTAGATAACAGAGAGCTGCAACAAACAAAGCTCTCCCTTGAGAATGGAGAAGTCATCCACACATCAATGGCAGATGATACTGTAAAATATTTAGGATGCACGTTCTCGGGAGAGCTAGTGATGAATGAGGAAAAGTTGAAAAATTTAATGACAACTTGGATAAACTGATGAGCTCTTGTCTTCTTAAATCGGAGCAAAAAATCAATGTTGTCAATCAATATGTGTTCCCAGGACTTACCTACCCTCTCCAGATGGTGCTCCTTACAAAGATCCCTCATTATTGGATGGGATTGATGTAAATATTCGCAGGAGTACCAAGACCATCATAGGGCTCCCCGCTAATACACCATCAGCGATGTTATACGCACCAAGGAGGTATTGAGGATTGGGACTGATCTGCTGTCAATGGGAGGCTCCTATGCAACATTGTTCCATTGCCCAGCGACTCTCCAATGTACTGAATGCCCTGTTCCAGTCTATATTTGATTATAACACTGAAATTGCCGAATGTGCGGAGAGACTGCGTGTTGATCAGGGCTATCAAAGAGTGAGAGCTCTACGGCAGTCGCTGAGAGAGAATTCTTTTGAAGAATGAGCCAGTTGCAGGTGGCAAGGTATTGGAGTTAGCCATTTTAAAGAGACCCTGAAAGCTAATAAATATATATGCCAGAAACAAGTACTTTCGTGGTCAGAATGGTCCAACACCTTGAAACTTAACATCAACTATGCATCTTTGCGTGGAGCCTCAGGAGCCAGTGCACAGTCGATGGAAGTTGGATCCATCTGTCTTAAATGCAGAAGAGAGCCTATAACACATGGGCACTATAGGGTCAAATTTGAGTTGATGAGGCTCATTAGGGAAAGGGAATTTACATGTTTCGACGAGGACTATTGTGTCGATAGTGATGACTCAACGAGATATGCGAATATGGTTGCATTCTCCAGGACCGGAAAGGAGGCACTGATCTTAGCCCCAACTGTTCACTATGAGAGCAATGACCTCAATCAGGCCAGTGAAATAGAAAAAGAAAAGAAGAAAATATACGATAAATGTATTCCTTTCCTAAAAGAGAAATTCCATGAGACCTTCGGAAAGAGAGAGAGAGTTCACTGTGAGAGGCCTCTGGTTTGGGTCTCGTAGAATGTTTCCTAAAAGAACAAGGAGCTTCTTCGAGGAACTAGGGGTTGATGTCGGAGAGTTTGCAGTGTTTGCCTAGAGCATTATTCTAGACTCCCTTGGGATCATTTATTACCACATATATAGTAATTATAGGTTAATTATGGATATTTATTATCATTTATTTATTTATTCAATTTTAAATATTTTAACTGATCATATCTTTTTATCTGTGTTCATAGGATTATGTTACTTCCTATGTATGTGTTCTAATTTTGGAATTTAGGCATTCAAATCTTTTTTTTTCTCAATAAATTTCAGGGATTGTTTTGTATCGGTTTTACCGAAATATATATATATATAGTATAATTGTAATTATGTTGACATAGTATAGTATTAATATTGTAAATTTTGAGTGATAAGATATATATATATTTAAATATATATATACAAAATATACATATAAATATATATATATATATATATATATATATATATATATATATATATAAATGTGATTCAAGTACAATTAAGTGCTATGTCCAAAAAAAAGGATTGATGAGCATGCTGTGTATCGAGCAACCCTATATAGTAGGGCAGTACTGCTTTAAATAAAGTATTTCTCTCTCTAGTATTTTTATTTATGAAATAATTTATATTGTTTATTATATATAGGAAAATATCATTATTTTTATTTTATAACATGAAAATATTTGAGTTAATTTTTCACCATTCTATATAGTATGTTAAGGGGACATCAATTATAGGTAATTAAATTGAGTTTCATTTAATTTGTTAATATATATATATATATATATATTTATTTATATATATATTTATATAAAATAGAAATAGATATATATGTTCAGGGTATCCCGTAAGTAGAGAGAAATATTTATAAGAGTGATAGCAGACCTCTAAGATCTTCAAAAAAATATATATAAGCATTGGTCTGATTTTTGTTAGAAAAGTAAGAAATTTATGTTTTGTGTATTTTTAAGTAAGTCACGTTTATTCTTGAATATAAAGTAATGAACAAAAAAAAAAAATAATAATTTAAGTATTTAACAATTGCTTCACTGTAAACTAGACAAAATTTACTTGAAATGATAGTAAAGTTTGTCATTATTAAAACAGTTTAAAGAGGATCTTTTGAGCAAATAAACTCAACCAAGTTCTGTTTTTAAAAGAATCATAAATTCTTCACAATTTTTTTGTTTATCATCATCAAACTATACTATGGATACTCAATTTTTAGAAAAACTTTCTCATTTATGAAGCAATAAGTCCATATCAAATAAGTTGAGGTTTACTAGGGAAAAAGATGCGATTCACCTCAAATTGTGTAAAAAAGTTATGTGATTTTATATCATTTCACCTAAAAAAACTCGTATTTTTAACAAAAATGGCTATAATAAATTATTTCAAAGCTTTATTTTATTTTTTTATTACCTGGGATGTATAATAATAAATTTAAATGCATAAACACACTTTAAAAAAAAAAAAAGTTAAAAATGATGATTTTTCAAATATTTTCCATGTAAAGTGATTATAAAACTTGTTCGCAAGTTGCATCAGCAAAATTTTTGAAGAGGCCACATTTCGACAGGATTATGAATTTTTGAAATGAAAAGTTTCAAATCAGAGGACAAGTGGAAAGTAAAGAACAGACCACTGAAAGTGTAATTGTATACCCCTATGGTTTTTAATATTCTACTTTAGCTCGCACTGTTTCTAAGAAGAGGGGAGCAATAAAATATTTTGAGAGGAGGAGGGGAGGTTCATGCACCATTGACTTTTGGGGAAGAGATGGGCACCCCTATTAATAGGAACTGGGGCTGTTCTAAATTAATAAAAATACAAGGAGACTCAGATTGATTCGCAAATACACCAGGCCTCCTAAATTTCTATTAGTTGGAGGGGCAACTGTACTAGATGGATCCTCAGTATAAAGTTTCCTTAAGGAAGTCAAATTGTGTACATTATATTATTTAATTACATTTATTGAATATGCATGGTCATAGTTTATTATAAAAAAGAAAAAGAAGTAATAATACCAAAATTGAATATGGATTTATGATAACAATATAATATAATAATAATTATTTTGAATAATTACATTAGGATAATCATAACAGTTAGAACTTAGACATTTATGTAATTTACTAACTCTAGATTATATTTGTTTTCTGTTAACCAACAGCTTCAAATTATAAATCATATTTAATAAGTGTAGTGGGATAAGTATAAAATAAATATTTTTTCTGTTTTAGAACCTGATCCAAACTATACATTTATAAGACAATTAATGAAGAAAACAGAAGGTTATACTAGGCATGAAACATTAATGGAATGTACAGTCAGCAATGGTATGGCTTTGGTTTCATGGTTTAAAGGAAACACAAAAATCACAGTAAGTACTCTGCAATTCCATTGAATTGTTGAGATATATTACTACAGTCAGTTTCATATGGTTATAAATATCTTCTTTAGGAAAATAAATTGTTTCATGTTGGGGGTTATATGGAAACCTTTTGAGGATATAAAAATTTATGCAGAAAAATATCTAAATTGTATAGCTCAGTAGGTTCTCAACCAATGGCTAATACTTAAAAGCGTGACAATTGAGTGGTGCAGGGTGACTGTTTTGTTACAGAAAACATTTGCAAACAATATTGAGATCCATGAAGTAGAAAATAAGTTATTAGGCTTTTTTAGATGCAAAAGTGTAAAAGAAAGAATACTTTCAAGTTCACTTTCGTCTTAGGAAAACTCATAAAGATCAAGGATCATATAAATGGATCAATTCAAGTGGGATATTAATTGTTTTCATAGCCTGGTACAACCTCTCTCTGATGACACTGTCATATGCACTGCTAAAATCTATGAAAAGGTGATGTGTGGTAATATTATTTTCCCTTGTTCTTTCAAGTAGGATACTTAACGCAAAGATTTGATCAGTGGTAGATCTCCCTCTCATAAAACCACATTGATAGATTCCCTCCTCTCTTTCTGCATGCGGAAGTAGCCTCTGATAGATAACATCTTATATGTGCAATTAAGGAGAGTTATACCACAGTTATTATTGCAGTTGGTTTGATCACCCTTTTTATGGAGAGGGATGATGATGCCGGTGTACCATTCCTCAGGCATGGTCTTAGTTATCCAAATACTTTGGAGAAGGTCACGGATAATTTTGATTAGTTTGTTCCCTCCAGCCTTCAGAAGTTCCGCGGTTATGTCGTCAGATCTTGGGGCTCTGTTGTACTTTTGTTTTTGGATGGAGTCATATACTTTCTCGTTATCTGGTGGATCAATTAACTCGAAGCCATTGTATAAAAAAATGGGGTAATAAATATATATATATATATTTCTTCTTTGTTTATTGACGTTTCAATCCCGGTATTTTTCTTTTTATAAGTTAACAATGGGATCCTCTTCAAAGCTAGAACAACAAATAGCTCAATCGGTACAAAATTATGCTTCCATATGTTTCTAATAACAATTATTTCAAAATTTTAATCTACTTTTAAAAATAAAGCTTCGATACCTCAGGCCAGGAACACACCGACAGTATCTGCACTGTCCACCAGCACATATATTAAGCTACTGGATCGCCAAGCATCTGCCCACCCCGGTCCTGAGCCCGAAGACAAATTATTACATACTAAACAATGAAAATTGCAACTATTTTATATAAAGCAATTGAAAAATGCATCTATGATAAACATAACAGCATCAAGAAAATATATCTATGGACAACAAAAACAGCTTGTATAACATCTCTTGGTTATAAATTAATGTATCCAAACTAATGTATTCAATCACCCACACATACACACACACACACACACACACACACACACACACACACACACACACACACACACACACACACACACACACACACATACACACACACACACATATATATATGGAAATATATGTGTGTGTGTGTGTGTGTATGTGTGGGTGTGTGTGTTTACTTAATGTTAATTAGCAGCAGTTCTAATTGAAACTCCTTTCTTAATGTTAATTAGTTTTTATCCACTTCCAATAATGGTTTATATTACAATATATTCTTTGATTCATGGAAAGAAAGATCTAATAGTGGAAGCTTACTCCTACCAACCATCCATAAATTCCCGAATTTTCTCCCTCTGTCAGTCACTTTTTATCTTTTTTGTAAAAGTGGTTAGTATTTGTGTATTGAGCAGTGCTAATTGCTGATTCTCAAAGTTAAAGATATAGAAGGGAAAGGCAGTATCAAGTTCATTTGGAACCTGAATGGAAGGACTTCAAAGACTATGATTGATCTGGTAGCACTTTGTGGCCAGTTGTGATGAATATATAACTAGGTTTTAAAAATAAAAATTTAATTTGTATATTTTGTTATTTAAAATGTCTCTTTATAAAATATTATATGTTAATTTTCAATACATTTATTTGTAACTATATATATATATATATATATATATGTTTTTTTATCAAGGGTAGGGGGAAATCTTCATAAGATACCCTTACCTATCCATGTGTGGGATTCTTACCAACTAAAACCACCTTCCTATACCTGTTTCCCACCCTCCATGAGACTGCTGTCAGTCATTACTTCATGGACGAACTCCATCCACATTACCATACCTTACTGGAGGAATGGTATGGCTCTGACAGTTTGACAGTAGATGGATACCATTGGCCTTCTATTGGGTTGTCTGGAAAATAATGAAGGATCTTGGTTTAAAAAGAAAGATTCATAACTGTTTATTTAATCAAAATAGTCTCCACTACTATCAATACATTTCTGCCAACACGATAGCAAATTTTACATTTTCTCGAAATAGAATTTCCCATCTTTAAAATTGATAAACTCCTAAAATGCATTTTCTAATTCCCTTTGTCCATTAAATTTTTTGTCATGTAAGTAGTGGTCCAGATGTCTAACAAAATGATAATCCATAGGCGGGACATCCGAAGAGTAGGGTGGATGTGGCAGAGTTTCAAATCCAAGCTCCAGCAGTTTTTGTGATGTCACACGTGAGACATGTGGCCAGGCATTGTCATGCAACAAAATAGCCCCTTCCAATTGACCAAAGATGGCTTCATTATTGCCAATTTCTGATGCATTGTATTAATTTGGTTACAATATAATATAATAATAATAAATTTTATTTGTTTTCGGGCGGGTCCATACAGATGGAGTTGAGTTTAAATCAAATTAAATACATTAAATAGATAATCAGTAAAAATAAAACAATTTTGCTTGATAAAATTATAAACAATACAAGATATCTTGAACAAAATAAAATATAATGATGAGTCCTAATATTATTATTTACATATAACCTTAACCTTAAACTTATAGATAAAACTATCCATTGTGAATAAACAAAAAAGATTTATTAATTTTAAACAATCTTCTACATACCATTATAAATCATTTAGTTTATATTTGTTTTCTATATGTAATGATTGTACTATTTGTTCTTTATCCTCATAATTACTATTAATATATTTACTTAAATACTTACTTCTAAAAGCTTTATATGTATGTAGAAAATACATTCTGGCCAGAGACGGCAGTGAGTAAACATCGCTATGTAGCGCTTTCTTTCAATTTCATATATTGAGCCCAATTTTTTTTCATTCTTTGTTTTTTTTCTCTACAGTATTAAATTATCACACGTACTTTTAAATAATTTTTAAGTCTTATCACACGTACTTTTAAATAATTTTTAAGTCTTACGTATTTTTAAGCTGCTCGACATAAAGAAATTATAGTGAGAATTCTACGAGCTCTGTGATTGTTAAGCTAATAATCCTGTCAGTATTAGCAGTTGTTTGCTTAGTGCATCACAACATAAAAAATTCTCTGCTATTTATATCAACTTTAAGTTATTTTTATTATTTTATTAACAAAATGGTCCAGTGTACGATCTGTAATAACGCTATTGCCTGTGAAGATAAATAAAATTTATGTTGTGCCAAGTGCAAAGTTGTCTATCACAAGTATTGTAATCTCATAGACAAAGAGACAGAAGCACAAAAATCTCCAAAAAAAACATGGATGTGCCTAAATTGTGATCAAGCAAAGAACCTGATAGCGAGAAGAAAAGACAAGAGGCACTTCTTGATGCGTGATATCGGGTGGTAGGAAAATGACTGCCCCGAATTTATCTCGGCGAGGAGATGACCCCAACAAACAGGCACCTCTATTGGCTTGTCCGGCAGAAGAGAGTGGTTGGGAAGATTAAATACATTATGTTTGCCACCTGCAGAGTACAAAAGACGTCCATCAGTAATCTTAATTGACCAGGCATCGGATCTTGACATTTTCACCTGACTGTACATATTTCATCACTCTTTCTCCTTCGTCAAAGTATTTCTCATTTTAATTGGTATCCAAATAATTTTTAAGATTTGGTTAAACTATCTCATAGCTTTAACCTACTAAATTATTTGTTGTTTTTTTTGCTATTGTTTCTCACTTATTTTTTTCAATATTTACTTTTATTTTCCTTATTAATACTGATTTTAAATGTTTTTTCGATTATTGTTTCATTCTCTATATATCAATCTCAGACTGTTGTTTTCCATCAAATCCTCCTAATGTCTAGTATCATCCTAACCACCTGTCATGTTAACTTCCAATCCCTTCCTGCCCATTATGATGAATTCCTACAGTAGTTTACTCAAAACTTTTTTCACATCATCGCAATCTCAGAAACCTAGCTCAAACCCTACATTCCGTCTTCTTCTGTCTCCTTGCCTAATCACAATTTCTTCCCTCATGACCGGGTCAGCCGGACTGGTGGTGGTCTAGCCATCTCTATCCATAATAGCTTGAGTTTCAAATCCTTGATTACTCCCCACCCTCCGAACATCCACAAGTTGAGTACCTCCTAGTAGAAATTTCCTGTAATAATTTCCCTCTCCTTTATGTAATGATCTATCGTCCTCCTCTTGTTCCATTTGATCCGTCTTCAGAATCAACCATATTCAACTTTGTTCTCCTCTAACTTAGAATAATCATCTCTGGTGACCTCAATACCGATTTCTTTTCTAATTCCAAAGACAAAACCTATCCAGTTGTTCTGGGGTTTTCTTCTACCAAAGCCTGGAGAACATCGTCATCAAGATAGGAAGTCCTTCCACAACCTTCTTTGTCTTCAAGGCTGAAGTCTCCCTCCTGAAATTTTTTGAACCAACATTGAACAGTACACTGATTAATGCTGCTCTCTTAGTGGGCGGGGTGGCTGATAGGGGTAATGTATGTGCACAGCACCGCCGTTGCCCGGAAATCTGGTATAGAGACAATGGATTTAAAATAGTCACGAGTTTGCGCCCCGCTGCCAGGGGTCTTTTAAATCCTCGCCCACACCCCCTGGCCCGGGAAAACCCCATATAGCCTTAAAGGCAAGGAAAAAAAAAATGCTGCTCTTGGCCTATTGCCCTAGACTTGATTGATGTTTCTGGCCATCTGGGCCCCATTCCGGCCAAGTTTAAACTTGTAAAACAAAATTATAAGAAAATCACGTTGATATCTTAGTAAAGACTGAATTATTTCTAAGCAGCGAAATGCAAAAGAGGTAAATAAGCATTATCGTTTGGAAAGAAAACTCAAAATCCTGCATTATTTTCCGGACAACCCATTATAAGCCATAGTATCGAGGGCTCCTTTCAATATACCGGATGTGGAAAGTAGTATAGAAGTAACCAAACTTGAAAGCAAAATCCTAAGGCTGTGTCTGGTCCTGTAACATTTGGCATCAGTCAGGGCAGGTCATTCTAGACGCCTTATCGCTCACTCACTGAATATGCTCCTTGAACCTGAGCCTTTCATCGATTATTTTTCTGAGGTATGTCAGCGAAGGCTTGGACCTTATCTCTTACCTACCTACAGTCAAGGTGATCTCTTCTCTCTTTTTTCTAATACTGATCAAAAGGACTTTTGTTTTGTGATCTGCAAACTGCAGTCCTATGGATGCGAATCATTTGAGGGTTAGTGTGTGTGTTTGTGTGCACGCCCTTGCATGATGCACACACACACACAAATTTTAGTTCATAAATATGCAGTTGGAAGTTTAAATACATAATTTTACAGGAAAATATGTATATTTATTTTTTAAAGTTTATATTATGAAAGGAATATATTTTACCCTACAAGATAACTAGTAAAATTGTACTATTTGAAGATAAGCTTTTGAATTATATGTAGTTCGTTTATTTTAATTTTATTTATTCAGGATGGTGATAAATATGCTATATCAAAAGATATGCAAGGAGTATGCAGACTATCTATAAGATTCTCAGAACTTCAAGATAGTGGTGAATATATGTGTAAAATTGACAAACAAGAAGATAAAACTGTAACTACAGTTGAGATTAAAGGTATATTCAATTTTAGTAAATTTATTGGTTTTAAGTAAAGTAAACTGGTTTCTATACAAGTCTTAATAACAATGTTATTCTGTTGATAATTATAGATTAATTATTGTTTTTAATTTTAAGGTTATAATTGGAAAAATCCAACCACACAACCTTGTGTCCCTAAAATACTGGTAAAAAATTAATTAGTGGTTGAATTTTTACAATTATTAGGGAGACCAGAAAGTAATTCCATTTTCTTACATTGAATTCAAAAACATAAATTTCACACTATTTTTTATTTTTAATTATTGATGGGATCACTTTCATTATCAACAAGCTTTTCTCATCTCACAATTTTTTTTCAAATAGTGTGCAAATTTTTAATGCAGGATCGATTAAAATCAATTGATTTTTAAGCAAAATATATAGAAATGGCATTTTGCAAATCTTTTTCCACTTAAAAAGTATTGAAACGATCCGAACAAATGGTAATCTGATGGTGCAACATCTGGCGAGTGGATGAGGCTGTATCTCCTACCCCAATTCATTAATTTTTTCCAGGGTTTCTCTTATGCACTGCGATCTTGCATTTCCGTGTTGCAGAATAACACTTTTTCTGTTGACAATCGCTGGCCACTTTTCAATTAAAGATTGATTTACACGATCCAATTGTTCACAATAAAGGTCTACATTCACACTTTGTTCAGGTTTTAGCACTTCAAAATGAGCAATGCCGGTAATACTCCACTGAACACACGAAAGAGCCTTTTTTGGATGTAAATCCCGCTTAGCAGTAGCAGTGCGTTGTGGCAATTCTTTTGCAGAGAGCCACTGCCTTTTGCGTTTTGGATTATTATACAGGATCCATTTCGGTGATCAAGCGATAAAAAATTGCTTCTGTATTGCGCGATTGAAGCAATAACTTGCATATGGTGGTTTCCCAATCTGCTGCAAATTTTCTCGGATGGTCGACCATGGTTATTTAAGACCGTTTGACAATGTGTCGATTGTCTGACACGAATTTGCTTCGACTTTCTCCTTTAACACATCATTGTTTAATGTTGTTGATCTTCCTGATCGATACAAGTTGGAAAGACCAAAATTACTGGATTTAAATTTGAAAAGCCACTTTAGTCATTTACGAACATCTAATGCATTTGTTTAAACATATGCATTAGCAATATTTTTGGTAGCAACTGTTGCGTTACTACCTTTGTCAAACTCAAAAAGCATGTAATGCTGGATATGTATGTCTTCTGGTATTTGGCTGGCCATTTTACTGAAAATCCCAACAACAAAAAATTTAGTTTAATTATTTGCAATCATAGATGTCACTGTATCCTTAGAATGTATTTTCCACAACATAGATGTACTAAATGAGCTGCCAAATGCCAATCAAATAGTGACATGCTCAGATACGACATTACTTTCCGGTCCCCCTGATATAATCTACTCATTTATATTAATTTTTGCTAATAAAAAAATATATATTCACATTGAACACTGTTAAATTAAGAGATGGGTAAGTAGTCGACTGATTAATTATATGGATGAAACAAAGAACTGAATTCTTGTCTCGTATTCCAAATGAGCCCTGAGGATATCCCACATGTTTGGGTCAAAATGTCGGCTAACCCAATAAAAATATCTTGATTGAAATTCCTGATAATTTTGTTTCATACTGTTAAATTAACTATTCATGTAATATAGCCAGTCCTAAACATTATAAAGCACATACAGGACACAGAAATAACTTACCCTTTTGCTTACCCACTAAAAATCAGTATATCTAAATGAGTATATATAAGATCTGATTATCTATAAAATAGTTATTTCTTTATAATTAAGTCTTTCAATTTATTACTTTGAATTTACTATTTTTTCAGAGTACCCATACAAATTTACTAAAGTCTTAAAAAGCCAAAAATTAACTGAAAAAGATACAATAACATTGGTTTGTGAAATTGATGATGAACTAGGAGATGTAGTATGGACAAAAAATGGTGAAGAAATTAAACCTGATAAGAGGTAAGTGATCGACTAACCAGAAATTGTACTTTATATCATAAATTTTACATATTTTATTCACCCTACAAGGGGCAGTAAAATGCATAACTGCTGGGACGATCCCCTTGGTCTTGATGCTCAGTTCACCACACCCTATTAGCATAACAGAACACTGCACAGAAACACTGATACAAGCACTTCTACAGTGAACACCTATGGGTAATCTTCCCTAAGATGAACTAGCAGAAGGTTAAAAATGCAATCTACCCTACAAAATGGAGTTAAGAAGTCGTAAAATTGCCTAGAAATAGAAATAGAGAAACGGCTATTCTGGAGGGTCTGGATCAGCAGCCCACTTAATTGGTGGGTATGTAAGCAGCTTCCTGATATTGTATGAAACTATAAGAAGGAAAGAAAGTCAATTTTATTCAGGGACATTCAGTTCCCTAAGAATAACTACAATGAACAATTTGGGAACATTAGTATGACATAAAAAGATGATCAAGAATTAATTCTATTAAGAGGTTATCCAGCCTTGAAATTAAAATGATAGAAAGTTGCAAGTTAAAATTTGAATTATACATAGATATAATATACATGAGCGTGTTCATATATAAACAATAGGTAATACATAGGTATCAAATACAGGTATAAGATAATGTTATAACGAGATTGACATCTCTAACACACAAAAATATTATTGTTACATTTATTTGGAAGATTGATTGCCGAGGAAATGGAAAGATAAATGATGTTTAAATGAGATTAAAGAAGAGGCTTTGGGTATGGAAGTAGGTAGGGAATTCCAGAACAAGGTAGCATGTATGAGAAAGGAAGCAATGCTATGAGAAGGAATAAAAAGGTTTGTGGGCTGGGATCTCGTGTTGAACAAATGGACCGAGGAACAAGGAGTAAACAGATCAAGAAGGTAAGCTGTTTTTTTTTTGTTGTAAAGGTTTGGAAAAGGAAAACACCTAGGAGATATTCAGAAAACTGGATAGAGCCACTTCAACTCAACATATCAACTGGAGACGTGGGAACGCCTGGGGACTCCAAAGATGAATCTAATGAAGCAATTCATCAGTCTTCTCAATCTGATCTCAAGCCTTTCAGACAGTCCACCATATACATGGCAGCCATAAGTGAGGAAAAATGAGAGAGGAAACTGGGAGCTGATGGGTCTTCAGGGGCACAGAATCATGGAATCTCAGGAACTGTTTTAGGGTTGCAATAGATTTTCAGATGACTTGGGAAATATGATTGTTCCAGGAGAGGTATTGATCTAAAATTACTCCCAGATTTCTTATGGAAGTATGAAAATGAATAGTTAGCCCATTGAGGTAGAGTAGGGGATAATAAGGAATGGAATTGATGAGATGCTTGGAACCAATGAGAATGGCTTTAGTCTTCTCTACGTTCAACTTTAAATCATTGCTGGCTGCCCAAAGTTTCCATTAATCATGAAATCCTCCTCTCCAAACTCCAAAACCTTTCGATATCATATAGCAACCTTAAGTAGTTCCACTCCTTCTTGTATCACAGGTCCCAAACAGTTATCATTCTTAATAAAATTCCTTCCTCCCCCTCATACTAACTCATGGCCTCCCTCAGGGATCCTCGCTCTCTCCAACTCTTTTCTCCATTTACATCAACGACCTTCTTGATTCCATCCATAAGTGTTAATACTATCTATATCTTCCTGTAGCCTTTGAATCACCTCAAGCTTCTCGATGGAATGAAAGGAAAGGTAGATTTGAAGGTCGTCAGCATAAAGTTGGTGTTATAAATTATGGATGGAATCAGGAAGGTCATTGATGTAGATGGAGAAAAGAGTTGGAGAGAGCGAGGATCCCTGAGGGAGGCCATGAGTTAGTATGAGGGGGAGGAAGGAAATTTATTGAGAATGATAACTGTTTGGGACCTGTGATATAAGAAGGAGTGGAACCACTTAAGGTTGCTGTATGATATCGAAAGGTTTTGGAGTTTGGAGAGGAGGATTTCATGATTAATGGAATCAAAAACTTTTCAAAAATCAAAGAGGACAAGAATTGAAATTTTCTGTTTGTCTATGGAGAACTGTAGGTCTTGGGTGATTTTCAACGATTGGGTGGAGAAGTGGGATTGAAAACCAGACTGGAAGGGACTAAGGAGAGCATTTTGCTCAAGAGAGGTATTAAACTGTGAATGGACTAATATTTTGAGAGGTTTCGAAAAGTTTGAGAGAATGGAGATGGCTCTGAAATCGGAAACTTTGGAGAAAACCGTAACATTGTTCAACGGGCAGACTATAACTTTTTTCCAAGCTGATGGAAAAGTGGAATTTTGTTGGGAAAAATTGTAAATATGCAATAAGAAAGGAATGATGACAAGGAGACATAGTTTGATTAATTTCACTGGGATTAGATCCGGACCATAGTCATTTGTTCTGGATTTGAGGACTGAGGAAAGCAGGTTGAGATATTTGTAAAATAAATATTTGTAGGATCAAAGGAAGTTTTAGGAAAGCAGTGTGAGGAGAAGAACAATATTGAGGTAGAATCGGCAAAGTAGGAATTCAGTTGATTGGGAGAAACAGGATAGGATGTACAGGTTTTTGATTTTACAACGTAGAAATTTTTAAAGATCTTCCATCTGGACTTAGGATCTGGTGCTTGTAATAAGGAGATATGAAAGAATTGTGCCTCAGCACGTTTCAAGAAAGATTGGGTTAGGTTTCGAAGGGTTTTGAAAGATATACAATCATCCCGATTACGTGTGCGTTTGAATCGTCTTCTTGCTGCGTCTCTTCTCTGCATCAGCCTTCTAATTTCTGGATTAATCCAGGGAGCAGCAGGAAATCTGAAGGTAGAGGTCTTTAGAGGTGCATGTTGATTCAGGAATACTAGAAGATCTGAGGAAAGACATTCCACCATTTCATCAATGGAGGAATAGGAGAAGATGGGATCTAAGGATTGGGCTAATGTTTCAAGGAAAGGATTAAGTTTTTCAGGGGTCATTCAACCGATGTCTCGCCAAGTGATTTGCTTAGGATTGAACTTAGGAGTTGGGACGTTATAGGAAATTTTGATGATATCATGATGTGAAAGAAAATAAACAGGATTCTGGGATGAAGATAATAAGTTTTGAGAGGAATCGATTAGAAAAAGGTCGAGCCATATACTCAAAAACTGGGTATGGTGAGTGGGTTGAAACAGAACGCTGAAGAGGTCTAGGGAACAGATTTGGTCTACAAGGTATGATGTTTCAGGAGAGTCAGAGCATAAATTGGTATTAAAGTCGCTGATTATTATAACGTTATAATTCATTTAATACTATAATCAATATATTTTTCTTATTCTGTACGAAAAAAATAAATCAAAAGGTATATAATACCCTAAAAATATGGGTTAATGAAAGGCAAAAATAAATAACATACATTTTATTTTAAATTATTTAATTTTTTTCAGCTCTTGGTTCCTATCAAACCTATAACAATAAAATTTAAATTTCATACAAATTCATTCATTTAAATCAGTGATCCACTAATTTTAAACTCCTATAGTTGTAGTCAAATACAACTTTTATATCCAGAAAAGCAAGGTATAAGCTTTTATTTTAATACCAGCCTTTCTCAATTATCATTCTTAAAAGAAAGATATGGTCATGGATCTGGCTGGAATGCTCTTTGCTCAACTTCCAAATTTTTCTCAACTAATGGCCTTACCTTCTTTTCTAAAATCAAGGTATATATTTTATATTCAACCTGGGAGAGACATATTGGTTTGTGATTACCACACTTTTACGTTTTAGCTTTCCTTCTTGGGGACAGGTATAATAATGTATTCCAGTTCTTTCAGAATTTTCATTTCCTCATAAATTTTCTGGAAAAGATTCTGCAACACTTCAATTATCTCCCTTCCAATGTACTGAACGAATTCTGGAGAGATGTTGTCTTTCCCTAATCTTAATTCTCTCAATGGCTGCTTCTAATTCTTCTTCGTATATTATGTTTAAATCTTCTCCTTATTATTATTATTATATTTCATATTAAATTTTTACTTTCACGTACCTATATATGAAATATATAGTAAAGAAAAGTATTGAGATCTTGAAAATTTTTGAATTTGAGTTTTCAGTGGAAATATAAAATAGATATACTATTTAATTTGTTAATAAGTAAAATAATTTTACTTTTAATTAACAATTATTGTAAATATTTTATTTATTTATGACCACACAAACATACATTCTGTACTTATAATTTGTTCTAAATGGACAATAGTCCCAGAATAACAAAATATATTTTTATTTAATTTCAATTCAAAATACATGTTTTGAGGTCCCCTAGTCCTACAAAAAGGTCTGTGTGTATCAATAGTCTAGCTTGAAAACGTAAAGTCGTACGAAAGTGACATTGCATGTTTAACATTTTTATATGCCTGGGATGTTACAGCAACTTTTTCGTCAAAATCAGCTTACCGAAAGTTGTATTTTATATCATCAATTTAACATATTTTAACGATTTTTTCAAAAACGGCTCTAACAATTTTGATTAAACTCACTAGGTCAGTATACTGGTTTTTAATTTAATAACAGTATAGTGGTTTTTAATTTAAGATAGGTTTTATCCTCATCCATGCAACCTGACAGGGCTTAAATGCCGATTTTTTCAAAATGTCTTCCTCTAAAGAACCTTTAATTTCTTTTTTTTTAATAATTAACCATTTCACATTAATATATTAAATAAAAAATAGTTAAATATAAAATATGAAAGAATTTCATAATTAACTAAAGGAAAAATAAGAGATTGTAACGAAGTATAGCTGTAATGGAGGAACCAAAGGAATACGAGCGCACCTGAACTCCAAAAGATTGGAACAGACTTCCATACTTAACATGAGCTTAATATAATATGGACTCCGTCAATATTATGTACATATACATACGCGGTTTTCATAAATGCTATCGTTGGTATTATTTAATATTTAATTGTATACATTACAGCGTTATAAAAATTAAAATTTGTATATATACCAGTACTTAAACAAATACCAACAATAAATAAATATAGCTGCTTTCTTTATCAGTGGCACTCTTGCCAGACTAAAAATATTTTATGACAATTAATTTATTATAATCAAATAAATAATTGAAATATACAGTCAGAAAAGGAAATAACAAGTGACAAACAAATAAAGTATAATACATCAGAAGGCTATGAAAAACATATGGTAAAATTATTTTATATAATGTCTCTTACCTTCTATAACTTTTATTTTTACTTTCCTTTGTCTTAAAATACTTATTTCTGCTAAGAGGGTGGTAAGTGAAAGTTATGTGATGCCACACTTCACCAGATTTGTTGAAGCCGCTCTGTTAGTTCCGTTTCTAATTCTTCTTAGCTTATTATGTCTAAATCTTATTATTATTATTATTATTCATATTATTTTTTTTTATGAACATATCGCTTCTTGGTCTATTGAGCCGAATTTCTTGTGGCTATGAAATTATTTTGTGAATCATAAGTTATATGAATCGCTGAATGCAAAACTGGTGTTAGTCAAAAACCAAACTTTTAAGATATTTATAGATATTAGATATTATACAAAATGTTTAAAGAGTTTAATAATTAAGGTGAATATCTATAGAGGTAATATAAAATAATAATAGTCATTTTTTGTAAGAGATAACTGTATACTTTCTCTGTAAAAAATTGTCTGTCTCAAGCACATGCAACTATTTAAAAACATGAAGTTAATGCATTCAATAATTAATTAATTAAACATTCCGAAAATGACTAACACCACTTTTGTGTTTAATGGTTTGTATTATACATTATATTGATTGTGTTATTAATTAAAACCATAATATTAGCTTGAATTTTATTTATTGCAAGAATTAGGCTATACTCTTTAATATATCTTAATGCATATTATTTTTATAAACATTATTTACATAAACTGTAATCATAAGTAGTATTTATTACATTAGGAGTCTTTTATTGTTAAGTGATAAAAAAAAATTAATATAACTGTAGTATTTGTAGCCCATTTTAATCAAGTATTTTGCATTTATCTTAAGGATTTCTATCACTAAAGATGGAAGGAAAAGGAAATTGATCATAAAAGATGCTAAAGTTACGGATGCAGGACAATTTGCGTGTTCAACAAATGCAGATAAAACTGAAGCTGAAATTGTTGTTCAATGTAAGTAGATATTAATGGTTTATTAGAAATCAGTAATAGCAAAGGATTATTTTATAGGTTAAATATACATGTTTTTAATTAATTTTTCAATATCATTTTTTCAAAATAATTGATATTTCATGAATGGTTTATATGCTTCACTATCCATTAGGACAAGAATGAACTCTTTTCATCTATTACTTTATTTAAAAAATCTTTAACTGAAATATCAAATTTTAACCAATTCAAATTCGTTTAAGTGTATATGTTTTTTATTCTGTTGTTTATTATAAACAAAATAAGTAAAATTGAATATTATTGTAATGCATTATAATTGATACTAAACACATTTTCTAAATAAACACTTTATTGACAATACGGATGGTTCAGAAATACGGGGCCTGTTGCTTTGTAGCAAGTATATGATAACCGAACTTTGAACCTGTAGTATTACTACTTGTACAAATATGTAATTATGGCCACTATATTGACACAAAATAATAATATGGTGAGTATTTTGTCTGAAGTTTGTGTTCTTTCCTTTCTGTTACCAGAAATACATGGGCTAAACCAATATTTTCACACTATTTCATACACTAAACTCCTGAATATCTCCCAGTCACTCAAACCAACTCCAGTTCATTATTGGAATTTAAGATATTTTTTAGGTGTTTGTTAAATTGGGGTTTCAGTGAAGGGATGAGTTTTTAACTACCAACCTTCTTCATCGTCTCCCACAAAGTGACTTATTTACCAGTTATTTAGTGAACTTTAGTGTAATAAAAACATTGCCAATTGAAGAGTTAGCAATAATTTACTATACAAATCAACATAAACATAGTGAGTAACCGCTTGTTTATTAATAATAGACAACTGTGTAAACAACGATAGTTTTATTGCTAGAGGTCATAGTTATCTATCCTTGCCTCCACTCGCTTCAGTAGGCATAGGACCTTCTAAGGGAGCACAACTGTACCTTGGTGGCATCTATAAATCAACGTAATTACTTACATGGTATTAATTTACTTAATTATTTTCATTTATCATCCTTCCATCATGAGATGCTATATTACCACATGATAATGTCTAGCAAATGTAAAAGATCTAGGAGTTTAGGTTATAACAGCTCTCGAAGTTCACCGGTAAAACAAAAGCCTAGATGTTCTAATAGAAAAACACCACCTTCAACACCTGATAATCCAAGTGACAACATCAATGATCCACAATCCGGTACTTCTTCCACTGAAACTATGACTACACAAAATATAACCACCGAAACAGATGAATCTCCATTTTTTTACTCCCAACCCATATCAATTACTGTCATTAGAAGAAACAATGGAAATACCACCAACCCCCAGAGAGCCAAACCACCTCCAATATTCATTAGAAATATACAAAATTTCTCGTTATTTTGTCAGCATCTAAATAAATTACTCGACAATGGCAAATACATATGTCAAAGTCAAATCAATGACACCAAGTTGATGCCAAATTCTCCAGAAACATATAAAAAAAAATAGTTAAATATTTAAGTGATACAAATGCAGAATTCTACACTTATCAGTTATTTCAAGACAGAGCACTAAGAGTAGTGATAAGAGGCCTACACCCTTCAATTCCACCTGATGCAATCAAAGAAGAATTGACAAATCTCGGTTTCAGTGTCCACCAAATTGTTAATGTATTCAAAGAAAATAAAGAGCAGTTGGGTCAATAATAAAGTAGCACTACCGCTATTTTTTTATAGACTTAGAGCGCGCCACCGGAGTCGAAAATATTTACAAATTAAGATGCCTGTACTATATCAGTATTGTTGTCGAAAAACCGTATAGCAAAAGAGAAATTATCCAATGCCATAATTGCTAATCTTATGGCCACACTAAAAGCTATTGTCACCGCTTACCGCGCTGTGTGAAGTGTGGATAGCAACACAAGTCAGAAGACGGCAATAAGTCAAGGCAAACTACTGCGGTGTGCGCATTATGCCATAAAGACCATCCAGCAAACTACAAAGGATGCCAGACATAAAAAATATTAAAATCAAGATTGCAGACAGCTCCTAGACAGGAAGAGACATTCATGAATTTCAGTCCACCAAGGCAATCTACAAGATTTGTGAACAATCAGATCTCAAATGCCAGGTGAAATGGAACAGTCTACTCAACCTGAGGCCCTGCCACAAACTCAACCACAACCTCATGATCCACCACCCCAATATAATAACACCCAAAAGTTCAGACATCACCAAATGTCATACATTCCTCTCCCTAACAATTACAATGATCTTAATAGCCTCCTTTCATCATTTCTTTCTGAATCAGATCTCTCTTCACCCCGCTTATCTCCTTACTTACTAATGTCATATCTAATCTTATTCCACCTCCAAGAATTCCTTAAATGTCCTCAATAAAACCCCTTTCCATTCTCCTCTGGAATGTGAATGGTGTTCGAAACCACATCAATGAACTAACTCTTTTCTATAGGACAATAACATTGACATAGCCCTAATAACTGAGACCCAACTGACTAACAAACGGCGGTTCAGCATACCTGGTTACAAAATTTATCGAACTGACCACACTGATGGAACAGCACATGGAGGCACTGCAGCCATCATCCATCAATCCCTCTTCCATCACTTGTATCCTTTACCAGTTCATAATTTTCTACAAACTTCAGCAATAACAATCCAAACTTCACTTTTTTCTGTTACAGTCGTTGCAGCATACTCTCAACCTAAAATAGCAATACTTGAACCTAACTTCATTTCCTTTCTTAATTTTTTAGGACATCATTTTCTTATAAGTGCAGATTTTAATGCCAAACATCAGCAATAGGGAGCCAGAATCACGAACTTTATTCACAAAGGTCTAGGGCCGCTAAATCAATCAGTTTTACGGTTTTAAATCAACTGAAACCTTTTCCACCAAACAATAACAGATGCAATAGACCTCAAATTATCCCTAAAAATCCCTCAAGACCAAACAATGCAGTGAGTTTCTACACCACCTTGATCCAACAAGCAGTCTGGACTGCATTCTTAGCACTCCCCTCCAAAATATACCTTAAAAAGAATCCTTTGCCCCAAGATCTTACTGATCTAATTAAATCTAAATGCCAATCTAGGATCCTCTGGCAAAGAACCAAGCATCCTGATGATCGGAAATTATACAATTATTATTCCAAACTGGTAAAAAAATAACTACTTCCTTTAGATCCCAATCGTACAATTCCTACCTTTCTTCCCTATCTACCGATGACAACTCCCTCTGGACATTGACCAACAGAATTCTTAAATACCACTCTGTTTCCCACCCACTCCAACCTGATGATTGAATCTGGGCTTCGTCAGATGAGACTAGAGTGGAAGAATATGCCAAACACCTATCCAAAACATTACACCCCGACCTCCATCCATCCCACACTGCTGAAGTTAAAGAATTCCTCTCTTCTCCGATTCCTCTCTTCTTGCTTCCTAAAGCTGTGAACCCCTCTGAGATCAAATTCCTTATAAGCAACCTAAAACTTCGAAAATCCCCGAGACACAATCTCCTTACTTCCCAGATCCTTTGATAACTTCCCAAAAAAGCAATTATATTTCTCACATATCTATACAACTGTATCCTTCCCACAACTCACTTTCCTGTGATATAAAAACACTCCATAATTATCCTCTTCCATAAACCAGGTAAACCTGTTAATAATACCTCATCCTATAGACCAATAAGCTTGCTCCCGATTCTCTCAAAAATCCTTCTCAAAAGCATCCTACCCATACTAGAAATCCACAATATCCCTTCCTATCAGTTTGGATTCCGCTCAAGACATTTCACTGTTCAACAAGACCTTCGCCGTGTTAACCATATACCCTCTGAGCTTGGAAACAAGCAATATTGCACTGGTGCCTTTCTGGACGTAGCGCAAGCTTTCGACTGGATGTACCACGATGGCTTGATTTTCAAGCTCAAAACCCATTTACCCTAATCCTTGTACCTAGTCCTCAAATCCTATCTCTCTGATCGTTCCTTTCAAGTCCGCTGCGGCACTGAATTATCCAATTATTATCCAATTGAGTCTGGATTTTACTGGAGTTTACTGTTAAAAAACTGATCCATGTGGTTTTTGATGTCCTCTTTCTTTTGGAATTTCTTTCCATTCATGAAGTTCTGCAGAGACCGGAATAAGCGGTAGTCATTTTAACCTAGGTGTGGTGAATAGAGAGGGTGGCTCAAAAGGTCCCATCCAAGGCTCAATAGTTTATTGCGAGTGGCCAATAAGACAAGGCCTAGTGTTGTCTTGTTGGAACACAGCACCTTTCCGATTTGCCAGTTCTGGGCATTTATTTTTTATTGATCCAATTTTGTTAATTGTCAGCAGTATAGAGTTGAATCAATCGTTTGTCCTCATGGCAATAGCTCATAGAAAATAACACTCTTGAAATCCCACCATATAAAAAACATTATCTTCTTTGGATGCAATCCGGGTTTTGACAGTCTTCTAGAATCCTCACGACTAGGTCCCCAAGATTTTTTACGGACTACATTATCATAAAATATTTATTTTTCATCTCCTGTTATCAACCTTTTCAAAAATGGGTCGTTTTGTTGCCGTTTTCATAGTAAATCACAAATAGAAATGTGTGTTGCCAAGTTGACTTCTGTAAGAGAGTGAAGGACCCAAACATTAAGCCTGGAAACATAGCCGAGCTTGTGAAAATAGTTTTTACTCTTGTGTGTGACACATTTAGAACCATAGCAATCTCTCGCACTGATTGGGTGGTATTTTGATCTACAATAGCCTTAACATTACTCGTTTAAATTTCATGTGGGCGACCAGACCGTTGAGCATCATTGATGTCAAAATTCCCTGAATGAAATTTGGCAAACCAATTTTGACAGGTGCGTTCTGTTAAGGCGTCATCCCTATAAACACTGCAAATTTTTCTATGAGTTTCTGCAGTACGCTTACCTTTTTTAAAATAATACAACAAAATTTGCCGATAATGAATGATATTTTATTCCATATTCACAGTGCAATAGCAAACACAATACTAAGCTAGTTTCAACAAGAGTTAACAGATATAGTTTTTGACATGTTACAAACAGGATAAACAATCCACCTTAGAGATTAATTCATAAGATATTAAAAAATGTTCATTTTTTGTTATTATTTGTCTCTTGAATGTATAGCTATTTAAATGTATTTAAAAATTTAGTTAGTTAGGTGAGTTTAAATTTCATTTGTTTTCCTTTCTATCTTTTTTTTTTTCTTTTATACAATGCGATCATTTCCCAATTTTTTTGTATATAGTTGTAATTATCTTGTACATAATTTCATTTGTTTTGTCTAGTAAATATTGTTAGATTACTTAAAGTTTTTCTTTCTTTTATTTATATAATGTAATAGATCAGACAAGAAGTAATCTTTTTTTTTTCTTTACAAATATGTTATTTTTTGGGAACTTTGTCCCTGAATAAAGTCTTTTTTCTATTCTATTAACCTAGTTTTATCTTGATTTCGGTTCTTGAATTTTATTAAATCAGTTTTTTTTTTTCAAACTTCAAATGAACTTTCTTAATGCAGGAAACTGATTTAATTTTAAATGAAAAAAAAGTAACACTTACATAAAATGTATATACTTGTGCATAGTCATCTAATAAATATATAATTTTTCTTTCAGATCAAAATCGTTTTAACAAGAAATTGAAAGATATTACTGGCATTGAGAGAGAAAAGATTGTTTTAGATGTTGAACTTCAAGATCAAACGGCAGGTCTGGAGTGGTTTTTCAATGGAAAGAAAATTGAACCTTCAGAAAGGTAAAACACTTTCAGTAAACATGTGAAAACAGTACTCTTTTGATTTCAGCATAAAAACTAAATTCAATATATCAAGAAATAATGTTATTATTGATTTTTCATTTTATCAAGCTTACTTATTTGATTTAAAAATATATATTACATTAAAATGGTTTACCCTTTTTTGTTTAGTTTCCAGCAACTAAAGTGACTCCCAAAATTGATCAAAAGATATTATTTTATATTTATACTAGTTTAAACATTTTAAATATTTTATCATCAATGTTAGGAATCAGGGGAAATATTCTACATTAAAAAAAAAATATGATAATGTTTACTCTCAAAACTTTTATTGAATCTTAGTATCGGCTATCATTCAAATATTTTTTGGTCAAAGGATTAGAGTTGGCAAGTATAATGATTTTTTAAATTAATTTTGTTGGTACTTCTTCACTAGCAGGCCGGGACTGACTGCTATCTGCCTATGTTTATAACCTGAACACTGATAATTCCGATAAGGTAATGATAAGCCTTCTCGTAATTCCTATCTTCGTATTATTGTCTTATATTCATATCATTGAAAGTGTAAACAGAAACAAAAACAAATGTAATAACAAAAAAAAACTTTTATTTTACGAAGCATATATTAATGATTTAATAAAAAAAAAACACTTAAAGAAGATATGTACATATAAAAGATCAAAATGAAATAATAAAAAAACACTTATAGAACATATGTAGATATACAAGATGAAAATGAAATAATAAAAAAACACTTGAAGAACATATGTAGATATAAAAGAAAAATATCAACACTATAAACGACATATGTACAATTTATTTTTATTTCATCTTATTTATTTTGGTAGGCAAAATAGTTATATGCTATTTAAAATAGCGAGGAACAGGTCCTCTTCTTTGTGAACCCATCACCACAAAAATTCCCAGAATGTAACAAGATTCATAATTTGACAAAAATAAACTTAAAAAAAATGAAAATTAACACAAACAGGTCAAAAATAAAGAATTTAATAAGTGAACGTAATAAAGGAATAACTGAAAAATAAACAATGTAATAACTGAAAGGTTTGGCGGGATAAGAAGAGGGAAGTTATGTTACATGACATTAGATAATATAGATAAGAAGTGAGCCTTCTTATCCCGGCCTGCTAGTGAAGTAGTACCATTTTTTTATTACATTGACACTTTGTAAAGCATCTGATAAATGTTTCTTCTGTACAGAATTTATCCCAAAAATAAATTTAGTATTGCTTTTAAATTAATTGAGGTGAAATAAAAAATAATAAGATATTAATGTATTGCTTTTAAGTTTCAACCTAAATTATCTAGGAATCAAGCCACAAATGCAAGCCCTTATTGGTTCAATTGCGCTTGTTCTTATATTATTATTGTTTATAAAATAACTACTGTAAGATAGGATTGCTTTGGGACTGAGTGAGTAACTTTGGGACAGCGTGTAACATTTAATTTGTGGTGTGCCAGCTTCAGGAGGTCCATCCTCCACTGGGGCCCGAAGGGGTACATCCCTCCTGATTTCATGTTTCTGAGTGCAACCTTGGCCATGCCATACATCACCATCTTATTCCTACCCTCAAAGTGTTTGATACTAGTGTTTGATTTAAATGATTCTTTAGAAACCATTCATTCCTACCTTAGTTTCCAACACTTGCCAGCTATCGATGTTTGGGACCCTGTCATTTTGGATCCAAAGTCTCCTTAAAAGTAGGTCATCCGGAATCTTCTCGATAGAGAAGTATGACCCTACCCTGATAGCTTTTTTGAGTTCTTCAACCCTACCAGCATAGAGTTTAATTCCCCCGCTGATAATGAAGCCCTCCACAACTCTGTGAATCCATTCTTTGGTGGCTTGATCATCACTGACGATGATACAAACCCCCAGATGGTGACTGAAGCCACCCATCTCCAGCCGATCAACTGAGCTGATCACCTGGACTTTCACCTCCTCACTCTGCTCTTTGGTGAGCTGAGCAGACAGATATCCACAAGGGATAATCGCCACCTTACTGCTCCCAGTCATTAGAGCATTAAGGCGATTGCACCAGCCTCCCCGCTTCTGGCCCTCTTCGCCGCAGACGTCAAGTTCCCTGGCGAGGACCTGATGTGCTTTGTGACTGGCCTTGGCTCCTCACTAACTGGCTCCTTTGTAGCCGGAGCTGCTGTAACCGGTATCTCAGTCCCAGGCTTCGCCTTGAGCATCTTCATCCTCTTCCACTTTCTTCTCTGAGCACCAGAGAACTTGGGTATTGGTGTTACACCTGTTCCACCAGCCAGACCCTTAGCCTCTTCTGTTATTACATAGAGCTAAGAAACTTGGACTGAGATAGTCTCAGTGGAGCTTCTTGAATTGTCCTCTAGTGGGTTCATCGATGACCCCACCGACTATCTCTCAACCACTTTCTTCTCTAACAGTTCCATTTCCGTGGGCAATTCGAAGTCCAAAGCGGTGTTGTTACCAGTGTTTTCCATTTGTTTTTGGGTGTTGTGTGGTGACTGCATTTTTGTTTCCACTAGTATGGGGGTGGAAAAAGGTCGCTACAAGTACTATCCCCTCTCTCTTCTCCCTGCAGAAGGCATTATATACGATGGGATGCTCCAAGATGGGTCCAATTGACAGTGGATTTTTATCTAAGACACCTCCTGCCACTCAGCTACGGCTTGAACTCTCTCCATTTACCTTGGGTGTCGTAGAAGGATCCACACAACTGCCAATAAGGCAGAAATTTAGATCTCCACCTCTGTCATTTGCGAGTACCATCAGACTACAAGGAGATGACAATAGGTGTTGATAGGGATAGGGAGGACTGGGAAGTCACAAGCATTGGGTAGGGCACTATTGCTTGATTATTCTGCAAGAAGTGGAGGAGATTCCTGCTTTTTCGTAATACAAAAGATGAATAACAATGGGAATTTGGATAAAGTAGTGATTGAGTGCAATTTAAAAAAAAAACAAAAAAAAAAACATAAAACTATATTTTAGCACATTTTACAAAGCAGAGTTTTCTCAAAACACACAATTTTTCTAACTAACAATAATTAACATCTGTTTTTTAAAAAACCTTTTATAACAGCTGTTTTGCCTAAAATTAAAAATAATACTTTTCACATTGTATTCCAAAGCAAAAAAATGAAATGTATATGGTTAACAAATTTCCGAACACCCCCATTCATCTCCCTCTCCTGTTACCCATTGGGTGGTATTTTGATCTACAATAGCCTTAATATTGCTTGTTTCAATTTCATGTGGGCAACCAGACCGTTGAGCATCATTGATGTCAAAATTCCCTGAATGAAATTTGGCAAACCAATTTTGACAGGTGCGTTCTGTTAAGGCGTCATCCCTATAAACACTGCAAATTTTTCTATGAGTTTCTGCAGTACGTTCACCTTTTTTAAAATAATAAAACAAAATATGCCGATAATGAATGATATTTTCTTCCATATTCACAGTGCAATAGCAATCACAATACTAAGCTAATTTCAACAAGAGTCAAAAGATATAGTTGTTGACATATTACAAACAGGATAAACAATTCAGCTTCGGGATTAATTCATCAGATCAGAAGTGTATCATAGTGATATAAAAATAAATAGAAAAAACGAAAGGACTTATTTGCCAACCCAATAGATGACTATTCACTTTTTGCATGATATTAAATTATTTTTAAAAAATTTCACTTAATCCAATTTTTTCAAGTTTTTAATACTAAAATATAATGTTGTTAACAGTTTTAACATAACTATAAATTAATCTTGTTTGCAGAATTGAGATTAAGAATCTTGGTGGAGGAAAACATCAGTTGATATTTAATAAACTTGAAATATCCGATGAAGGAGAAATTTCCTGTTCATCTGGTGAACTAACATCATCTTGTAAACTTGTAGTGAAGAAAGGAGAATTGAAACCAGTAATTCATTTTGGAGATACTGTTGATGCACCAGTAACTAAACCTATTATAATAGATGTGCCATATACAGGTATGGTTAAAAACTGGATTGTTTATTCACTTTAAACTAATATTTATCTTGTATTGAACCTACAAAAACTTATAAATTTCTAATTTAGTGAAAGTTTTATGTTAAACTTCAGCTTATTCGCAATACAATGTATACTGATATTAAAAATATTATCTTCAACATCTATTAACAATGACTGTTGATTGATTTTTTTCTTAATATTCTATTTATTCATTCTCTGATTATTGATTTTTATGTAAATGATATATTAATAAAAATTAATTCTGACTGATTTTTATAAGGTGTGATTTTGAAGACTATAATTACAATTAAATTTGATTTTTTAATGCTACCTCATAAATTCCCATAAATAGGCTTTCGTACACACTGGCTTTACTCCGAAATTTTTGGATTCTATCTACAGTGTGATCATGTTATGTTGTACTCAGCCTCCATATGGTCAGCCATGTTCTTTATAAGTGGCCTTCTTTCAATAGTTTTTTTTTAGATTCGAACTCATTCTGTCCTTTTTTTTTCTTTATTTCTTTATTGAAATTTACAACTGTATTTATACAATATAACAAACATATGTAAAATAGGAGTATTCAATAAAAACATATAATAACTGGTGGAGGAACTACCCATTGATATTCAATAAATCATTGCTTTTATAAACCACAGCTTATGATTCATTCTCTTATTAGTGTTAATTTAATCAAGTTTTTAATTGAATAGAATACTGGATCACACCATTAATTCTTCTTCTTCGATACCTCTACAATTTATTGGAGAGTCAAGGATTCCCTCAGTCAGATCCGCCAATCTTCTCCGTTATGTACTCCTGCCTTCCAATTTCTTGTTTCCAACAACTTCTGAGTATCTACCACTACACAATCCACCAAACTTAAGTGAGGTCTTCCAACTTTTCTACGTCCGAATATTTTTTCTTCTAGGAGCAATTTGGGGAATTCATTATTATTCATGCATGCAGCATGCCCTTTCCATCTTAGAAGTCTAGCCTTTATTAAATGTATGATATCAAGGCCATTGTAGATATTCATAAGCTCACCATTTTTCCTCCATTGATCTTCATAGACCGTTGATATGCATAGGCCCCATAATGCTTCTCAAAATCTATTAGCTGCCATAATCCGCTGCTGGATTTCTGGGTGCATATTTATTATTTGTTGAGTTTAACAATGTCCCATCTCCGGACACTCTCACTGAGCACTGAGTAACCTTGTAGTAATGGTCGTCCTGACAAGGGACACTAGTTTTGAAGGATGTCAAGAGGAATCATTTCATCATCTAGCTCCTCTCAAATCATGCTGTAATAGGCAGCTCGAAAATCCACAAAGAAGTGGTGGGTCTGTATATTATACTTGGCTACTTTCTCCATCACTGTACTCACAGAGAAGATTTGGTCCATCGTAGTTTTGCCTTCCGTAAAGCCTGATTGATATTGGCCTGTTTTCTTTTCAACAAAACATGATAAATGTTGGAAAATAATATTGGAAAATACCTTGTAAGTAAAGGGAAGAAGGGATATTCCTCTGTGGTTCTCGCAGTTTAGAGGATCTCCCTTCTTGTGAACGAGGCATACAATAGTTGTGCACAATTCTGTAGGCATGCACTCCTCTACTCAGACATCTAAGATTAGATTATTGATATACTTACAGATAACCTCTCCTCTCTGTTACCAAAATTCAGCCAGTATTCCATCCACACCTGGTGCTTTATTATTCTTTAGCGCACCTAATATCCTCTTCATCTGGTGGTTCCAACTGTTCACCATAGATATTGGTCATAAGTGGCGTTCATTCTTCCATGAAATCTCCATTTAAGAAGTTTTCAAAGTGGTTTCTCTAAAATCCGATAACTTTTTCTCTCTCAGTGATTAGAGAACCATCTATATCTTTACATGCATTTGATCGGGAGTCGAATGACTGGCTGGATCTAACAGGATTAACAATCCAGAGTTAAAACTTTCTGATTTCATTCTGGGTCCAAAACGTCTCAATTTCTTCCAACTCTTTCCTATCTCAGGATGTTTCTTCCTCTTGTGTGCATCCTCTGGGTCAGTATAATGATGAGAAACTTGGGTCTCATATTCAGTAATGGCAGATCCCCCAGTGACAACCTTGCACAAGTTATCTACATTGGTCATAAGTCTTGTAGTATTTCCGATTATGTATGAATATCCTTTCCTTGTATATATGAATCTATTGATTTTGAAATCCTCAATATATGCACTCCCTCTTATCATCTCCCTTCTGTACTGATTTTATTTAATAAAGAAAAGCAAAAAAAATCAAATAAGTCTAAAGAAATCTTGGTAAGGAATGAAATTAATTTAAACATCTTCAGGGCACTAGCTGATTCAACAGCACCACTTAACAAATAGGTTGAAGAAGTAGAGATCCTTGATTATGAATATATGAATACTATTTATGATTTAATGAAGCTTTTTCTTCTTCTTCTTTCTCTAGCTCCTTTGTGCCGTTAAGCATGGAGCTGCAGTCCCAGCCCATCTTGCCCAGTGGTCTCAGTTCCTGGCTAGTCTTCTCATCTCCAGTATGGTGCGTCCTCTTGCTGTGTCCAATTTTCCAATGTAATCATGGTAAGTATGGCTCGGCTTGCCATGAGATTGTCTGCCTTCCGGTCTAGCTTCCATAAACCACTTGGCCTTTCGGGTGTCGTCCATTCTGTAGATGTGCCCAAACCATTTCAACTGCTTCTCTTCCAGGATGCCACGGATTGATGTCAACTCCGATTCCTCACGGATTCTGTCGTTTCTGACACAGTCCCTCTTAGTTTTGCCAGCTATTCTTTGGAGGAATCTCATTTCCGCTGCTGTGATACTGCCTACATGCTTATCGAGGGTTGTCCAGCTTTCAGATCCATAAAGAAGTACTAGAAGGAACACCACCTTATATATCGTGAGTTTGGCCTTTCCGTTTACTTCCCGTTTTCCTATGATTGTTTTGGCTATCTGGTAATATATCCCATTGGCCTTCATCACCCGATTTAGTACCTCCTGGTCTATTTTACCATCTTCATTGATGATTGTCCCCAGACACATGTATGCATTTGTTACCTCTAGGGGCTCACCATTACTTAACATCATATGCTCCGCATTATCTTTTCCAGCGCACATAACCTTTCTCTTAGATGGGTTTATATGCAGCCCTCGTAGCTTCAATTATTCTTCCTACTCGACCAATGATGCTTGTAGAGCCTCTTGTGAGTCCACTATAAGAATTATATCGTCCGCATATAACATAGCTTGAGCCAGCACTGGTGTCAAATTCCAATATCCCACAACAGCCCTTGGGGTTCTTTTTTACACTTTCCAAACTTCATCCATGAGAAGGATAAAAACCCGAGGACTAAGACTATCCCCTTGCTTTACTTCTTTATAAAAGTGGAAAGGTTCTGTTGTGTGTCCATTGAGCCTTATTACACCCTTTGGGTCTTGGTATATTGATTTAATAGCACTCACCAAGTTTGCAGGTGAGTCTTCTTCTTCTAATTAGTGAGTCTCATATCTCTTGTCTCAGAACTGAGTTGAATGTGGCCCTAAGATCCAGAAATGCTAGATAAACCGATTTTCCCACATACTTTTTTCACAATCATCCATAGTGAGAATATGTGGTCTTGGGTCTGTCTGCCGGGTCTAAAAGCGGCTTGCTCCTCCTCTAGATCTTGCTCTACTATATACCTTAGTCGCTGTTCAAGAATTCTTGTGTATGTCATGTACACAACTGATGAGAGGCATATTGGCCTATAGTTCCTGCATTCGCTTTGGCTGCCTTTCTTGTGAATAGGGATTATGATAATGTTCTTCCATTCTCGTGGTATCAGCTTGAGGTCCCAAATCTTTTGGAAAAGAGTTTGAAGGATCTTGATCATTTTGTTGCCTCCATATTTAATAAATTCTGGAGCTATTTCATCTAGTCCTGGTGCTTTTCCCATTTTGATTCTGTCTACTGCCATTTCCACCTCATCCTTACCAATTGCGTCATCCAAGTCTTCCGAGTAAACCTCTTCCACCATCACTCTCCTTCTGCAGTCTCTGTGATTATGGCATCGGTGTTCTTCCATACTAAATTTCTCCTGGAAGAACTGTCTCCAAACTTCTAATACGTCTTTTTCTTCAGTCGCCAACTATGATTCCATTTGCATCTTTTATATTTCTGACCGGTTTTGACTTTTTGGCTTTCAGAGCTTTTGCAATATGCCAGAATCTCCTTATATTCTCTTTATAATTCTGTTCTAGCTCCTGACCGAACTGCTCCCAGATCCTCGTCTTTGCTGATTTAATTATTCTTTTGTCCTCATTTCTGTACTTAACATATTCTTCCCAGTGGATAGGTAGTATCATTCTACAGTATGTTTTCCAAGCATCCTTCTTGAGCTTTACTGCTCTTTTCACCTCATTGTTCCACCATTTTGTTTTCTTGGTAGACAGCTTCATTTTCTTAATACCACATACTTCACTATCTATATCGATGATGCAATTCTTAATTTCTTTCCAAAGAGTATCTAATTCACGATCTCCATTTATTAACTGAAGGCGGCTCTCCAGCATCGTTCTGTACTCTTCTTGTTTGGTTTCAATTTTCAACATTTTAACATCAATTCTATTAAATACTTTGCTAGTCCTCTTCCTTGGCTTGATAGCTTTAGTATCAGCGACTAGTAGCTTGTAGTCTGTATTAAGTTCTGCGCCCCTTATGACTTTAATATCTGTGATGTACCTCCTGAGGTCTCGTCCCATGATGAAATAGTCAATGACTCTTCTTCTCATACCCTGTACTCCTCTATTCTCAAAAGTGATCTTATGTATTGTTTTATGATTAAACCACAATAAGTAAATTTCGTAAGTTTCCTATAAGCAAATTATTTTCTATACAGAATTCTATGAGTCGTTGGTCATTACTATTTTGCACGTTTTTACCTCCCCAGGGTCCTATCGCTCCATGCACATTTTCTTTATCATTTCCTGTTCTAGCATTCAAATCTCCTCAGATCAGTATCATCCTGTTTTTGGTTCTTGCATTATCTACTGTCCTTTGCAAATCTTCATAGAACTGGTCCTTGTTAAAGACTGCTGTATCCTCAACTGGAACATATGCTTGTATCACTGTAACTTTGCCGACGGATAATTCTATGTCTATTGTGATTATCCTTGGTGAGACTGCTTCCCATGACTCGATTCTCTTGTATAATTCGTCTCCCATCACAAAAGCAACTCCTTCCTTTTCCTCTTTCTCTCTCACTGACGTCGGAGTAAATCAGATTTTATTCATCTGGCAATGTTAGGTGTCCATTTCCTCTTTTCCAAACTTCACACAATCCTATTAAGTCGACTCTAAATGACTTCATTTCTTCAATCATTTCATTGTCCTTGCCTTGTCTATGCCCGTAAGACTGTCCAAATCCGAGGTTGCATTTATTCCTATGAATCGTTATAAACTCCATACGGGTGATTAGCCCAGAGATGGAGGTCCCTTACCCAGAGACAACACGTTGCCCGCTATACTCCAGGCATTGAGTCTTCTCAGGAAAGGTGATCCTGAGGTGTGTAGTGTAATTGTCCTTATTGTTAGTGTAAATGTATTATGTACTGTTGTGTTGTGTGTAAGTGCGCTGTGTATTGAACTCAGGAAACCGGGGTGAGGGAGGGGGAGGAGGTTGTTAATCCCCACTAGTAGAGTGCAACTACTAGCCCCTATGGTAATGAAGCAGGACTTATAAAAATTCAGCATATCCAGTCCCACAGCAATAGAAAACCATGGTTTTCAAGAGATTGTGTACCAGTGAAAAAGAAGATGAGATCAACTTATCGTACAGCTCATAAAGATTTATTTTGTGCTGAATACCTACAACAATTCTGTGAAGCAAAAATTTACTATAAAAAAATTATTGAAAACACTAAAACAATGTATAATAATAAGATAAAGGTAGCCATAAGTTCCACCAAAACACCAATAGAATTCTGAAAATATATCAGGAAATATAGCCACACCACAAAATCTTTTACCTATAAAACAATGGGAAACTTCTTTTCAGGATATACTTCCAGCTAAAGAGGAAATTGTAAGACCTTTCACATGCTCTAACATGCCTTACTTGGAACACAAAATCACTTTAGAAGAGCTATCGACAGCCATCAAAAATAGTATAAGAAATAAAGCTACAGGATTAGACTTGATACCCAATGAGTATTTTAAAATGCTAAATCAAACATGGAAAAACAGCTTATTAAAACTGTATAACAAAATATGGTCAGAAGAGCATATCCCTCACAGTTGGACAAAAATAAAAATGATTTTCCTCCACAAAAAAGGATCGATAAGTGATTCTGAAAATTATCGAGGAATCACCTAGTTGAATAACATCTTAAAATTGGTCTCCTTTGTAGTTTATTATAGACTCATAAAATGGGCTGAAGAGAATTAAGTGTTGCCAAATATACAAATGGGGTTTAGGAAAAATAAGGGCTGTAGGGATAGTACTTTTATCTTATCATCAGTTATTAATCTAGTTCTAAGGCTCAAAAAAAGCAAAGTAATAACTACTTTTATTGATTTCAAAAGAGCTTTCAACTCAGTGAAACATGAATAGCTGTGGCAAAAGTTCTATGATATAGGTGTAAGAGGAAAAGTCCTGAAACTTATTGCACATATTTTTTTTTTTTAAATTATCTGTCATCACTTTCCTTTCTTAAATTAAACATCTGTGATCGACATTGACTCTTCAGTTGTCTCACCTGTTGAAACAGTTTATAGATGAGCAGAGAGAAAACCTCATTAATATAAATGTTTCATTTTCAGCGTTTATTTATTTATGTTTAAAATAAATGTCTTTTGTATACAGCTATTTATAATTTTAAATGTAGTTTAAGAATGAATCAATTGGCTAAATTTTTGTCCAAGAACTAATCGTAACAACAGTATGAGTATTATATACTACGCATGTTATGTAAATTTTAGTTTTTGGGAACAAATATTCAGGACACAGTCATTTTAAAGGTTTTCATTGGTGCCATGTTTCAACCTAAATGTTAACACTACTAAAACCCTTTAAAATGACTGTGTCCTAAATATTTATCACACATGGTATGTAGAACAGTCGACTAACTTCCTTCAATAAATTTTAGTTGAAGGTACTAGACAGACCCCTGTTGAAGCTAAGTTGATAAAAGATGGAAAACCTCTACCTTTAAAGGAAGTCGAAGTTACTGTAACTGATGAAAAAGCAGTCTTTACTATTAAGAAACCATTACGTAGTTTATCTGGAAAATATGAAATCAAAATTTCTAATGGCCAAGGAGAAGATTCAAAAAATATTAATATCAACATGCAAGGTAATAATAAATAAGTCACTTTAAATACTAAATATAAAGAAATAATTGTTTTAAATAAATATTTAGTTTTTTTTTTTTAATAATTTATATTTCAAATTAAATTTCAATAGATGCCCCCACTGCTCCTTCAGATGTGGATGTGACTGATGTATTTCAGTCAAGCTGTAAAGTTTCTTGGAAACGTCCATCAGATGATGGAGGCTCTCCCATAATAAAGTATATAATTGAGCGACAAGATCTTGCTGTCAAAGGTTATCTGTTTGTTTTTATAAGCTTCATATAATTAATATGTATTAAATTAATTTTTATATCTTGTAACAGTTTACAATGCTTAAAGTTTTGTTTCTTTATTAGGAGGTTGGCGCAATGTTGCTGAAGTGCCTTTTGAAGATGGCACAACATACAACTGTACAGACCTTGTTCATAAGAGGGAGTATAAATTCCGAGTCCAAGCTCTTAATAAAGTTGGGGCATCTGAATATGGACATTGTTCCAAAACTGTGTTAGCAAAAGATCCGTGGGGTAATCCAATGATTTTATTTTTTATTAGTAACTAATTAGTATTTAACTTAATATAGTCCAAGATAAGTCTAAAATAATATTTTTTATAATGTATCATGTTAGCTATTGTCATTAAAATTTTCAGATGAACCAAGTAAGCCAAAGAATGTTGAAGTTGTAGATTGGGATAAAGATCATGCTGATTTGAAGTGGGAAAAACCAGACAGTGATGGTGGGGCACCCATTTCTGGATATATAATTGAGTATAAGGTACATTAGTTTCTGATATGAATATAGTGCATATGCTAATACTTTCTATAGTTATTTGTATATCCATATAATTTTATTTTTTGTTTCTTTATCTTTTTTTATCTAACTTAATTTATATCTAACAGCAAATACTTTCTTATTATTTGTATTTTAACTGAGGTTCCAAATATTTCATAGTTTCTGTGATGAGTTTTAGCAATTAAATAAAAGATTATGGCTTTTCTATTTTTTTATTACAATTAAACATGAAGAAAAATTTTAACTACTATAAGCAACTTTAACTTGGTTGTTAATTTTGATTTTTATCGGTATCCAATTCTTGTTTAAATTTTTAATATTAAAAAAATAGATTAAATATTAAGGAAAAATAGGTCAACAGTGAATCACATCTTTGCTATAAGAAAAATGTTAAAGAAAACATAACGTGGATCTGCATCATGTCTATATAGATTTTAAGCAGGCGTATCGTTTTATAGACAGAAAGGAATTACAGAAAGCTTTCAGAATACTTTATTAATTTCTGAAAAATTAATCGTCTTGACATAGATGAAGCTAAGAAATACCAAATGTAAAGTCAAAATTCAAACAGCTTTGAGATAAAACAGGGCTTGAAGCAGGTAGACCCTATATCACCAGTCATCTTTAATCTAGCCCTGGAGCGGGCTATTAGAGCAATAAGGATCAATCCTGGAGGAACTATATTCAATCAACTTACTCAATGCCTTGCATATGTGGACAATATTCTTATCAGTGCTCGCATTTTGGGTCCTTTCCTTAAGGATAAATGAAGAGAAAAGTCTGTATATGAAGTGAATATGTGTACATATTAATCAGCATATTTTTTTAATGGGAACAGAATTCCAATATCTTGGGGTGTTAGTGACTAACCAGAACAAAATACAGGCTAAATAAAAGCAAGAATTACAGCTGGCAATAAGTTTTTTTATACCCTGGCAAAATACTAAAATCCAAGGAACTGACCTGAAATGCCAAAGTAATAATTTATAAAACCATTGTAAGGCCAGTTGTTACCTACAGGTGTGAAGCATGGGTTTTGACGAAAATTCCTAAGGAAAATATATGGTCTGAAGAAAATAAATGACCAGTGGCGAATACAAAAAAAAAGGCAAGCTCTATGAGCTGTATAATAATGAGGATATTGTTGTCACTGTCAAAAGGTGCAGCCTCAGATGGCTAGGCCATGTAGAAAGAATAGAGTATAATAGGACCGCCCAGAAGGAGCACATCTTAAGGGGTGATCCCAGCTGCTGTGAATCAACAATGTAGAAGAAGACCTCAGCCGTATGGGTATAAGAAGATGGAGAAGAATAGCTGCCAATAGGGAAGCCTGGTCGAAGCTTGTTTCTGAGACCCAGGTCCGTTAAAGGGACTGTTGAGCAAATTAATAATAATAATAATAATAATAATAATAGACCCAGATATAAAATACCGCAACTTCCCCATACACTTTTGTTAATAAAACGTTTTAACATTTTAAAACATTGATAACAAACTAGTTTATTCTAAAACATTAATTTATTGTTGCAATTTCAGCCTATTTTATTAATTTTACTGGCCACTTTTAAAACAATTTATTGTGTTGTTATCATAGTCGAAATAATAATTTTAACAATGAATAAGAAAAAAAATAATAAAGGTAAAATAATAATTTTACTATGGTAATTAATTAACTTACATCATAGCATAATAAATTGTTCTGAAAATGGCCTATAATGATAGTCAAAATGTTAACAATAAAATATTTTTTAAAATAAAAAGTGTTTATAAAAAAAAAATGTGTGGGTCTCTGGTGGAGCATGTTAAAGCTATTGAGAAAATATACTCTGCATGTAGAAAGGCTTTTAATATAATTTTTTATTAAAACTCGAAAAATTATGAAACTGAATCTCATTTCAATGATTCAATAACAATGTAAATAAACAATAATTCAATAAAAAAAAAAAAAAATGTGCACTACCCGAATAATCAGATCACAGCAGCAAGAGTTCAATTCTCTCATGGGAACGATAATGTGCACACCCACAGATTCACAGAAAGATGATTGACCCCTGCATCTTACATCATAGCATCTGGTTTTCCATATTGGATGTTGGGCATAGGACTAATAACATTACCAGAAATTTTAAATAAAAACACCTATTATTTTAATAGAACAATTAAATCTATTATTAGAAATAAAAACACCTTGTTACGAAATCTAAAACTAGCATTGGAAAACTGAACTGTTGTTACATATTAATGATGCTAGCTTTGAATATAGACTGTATATTAAATCATGGAATGTTCAGAGATCATTTTCAGTCATTTTTGTTTAGAGCAGCCGATTCTCTGTCTCAAATATGAAGGATGGATGATTTGAAATGAAAATACATTTTATTATTCTGGGACTGTTGTCCCTTTAGAACAAATTATAAGTACAGAATGCGTGCCTGTGTGATCATAAATAAATTAAATATTTACAACAATAGATAATTAAAAGTAAAAATACAGAAGAAAGAGAGTAAAAGAAAAGAAAAGTGTACATATATATAAGAAAAACAAAGGAAACAGAAATAGTCCCTGGGGGTACTTAAATAGTTCTCTTAGGTATATTTCGTAATCAGTCGGATTGAGAAAGGAGTAGGTGTTTAAAGAGAAGAGGTTCAAAAGAGGAAACTGATTATGTGTGTCGAATATCAGGAGGGATGGAATTCCAGAGTGAGGCAGCTTGAATTGCAAAGGATTTGTCAAATGCAGCAGTTCGGTGAGGAGGATAGAGGGGGAAGTACAAAATCTAGTGGGATGGGATTGGATGGAGTATTTAAATTGTAAATTGTGAAAAATATAGGAGGGTCGATGAGTTCTAATGACCTGGTACAGAAAGGTAGCTAGGAAGTACTGCTGGCAATAGGATGGATAGAGCCACTTCAACTCGGTGTAGTACTGGGTAATTTATGTATCTCTTGATTAATGAATGGCAGGCCAGGCAGAAAGAGACTAGCAGGAAGACCAAGGCTGAGGTGGTAGGATGACATAGAGGATGATTTGAGACGGATAGGAGTAAAAGGATGGCGAAGGAGGGCAGAAGATAGGCAGGAATGGCTACCAATTTTAAATGTCAAAGTCCAACTTTAGCACCATTAAGTAAAGTAAAAAAATATGTATCTCTTGAGATTTTGAAAATAAAACATACTGCACAATTCATTTAGGAGATTATTGTGCGCTTAAAAATAGGATAGCTGGGATTAGACTAGTCGCTCTAAAGGTTTGGAGAAATTTGAAGAAAGGGTAATTGGACGAAAATCATTAAAAGCTGATGGTTAGAGGTCTTCTTCAAGGGACGAACTAGGGTGGTTTTCCAGGAAGTAGGGAAGGTAGTATTTTGAAGAGAATAATTATAGATATGATAAAGGATTGGAAGAACGGATTGCAGCGCGGCTTTAATCAGTCTGACTGGGATGTTATCGGGACCATAATCGTTGGTATGTAAATTCTGAATGGAGTTAAGGAGATCATCAGGGGTAATGTGGGGAAAAAAAGTGATTAGGGTTGAAATAGGAATACATAGGAATGTGGTTGCGAAAGGGCTGGCGACAAAGTGAGCGTTTAGGTTATCAGCAGAAACAGAAATGGACTGGGTAGATAACTTTGTAATTTAATTTATTCTTAATTGTTTTCCTATGGCAGACAATTGTCACTTCATTGTTTATTGTAGTTATTCTTAGGGGACTAAATATCTCAGAATGAAATTTACATTTCTTTCTTTCTTTTATTTTTTCATACATATAGTTACTAAATAAGCAAAGCATAACATCAGTCTATTGTCAGCTCTTAAATTTTTTGTTTTATAGGTTTAGCTGTGGTCTCTTTCAATACCATTTTGATTTGACAAACTATGTAATTAAAAATAATTGATTACATAATAATTACGATAAAATAATTGCAAAAGCAATAAACATTATACTAAAGGCTTACTATAAACTTGTCATGTTATGCACTACTTTATTCAAACACAATGTTAATGGTGAAGTAGATGGCTACAAACATTTCACCTATATATACAGTCAATAATATTAAACTTCGATAAGTTTTTAATTTATCATATTTAAAACTCTCGTAATAAAAAACATCTTGTATATACTTATTTTTAGGAAAAATTTGGAAAAGATTGGGTTGAAGGCAAAGTTATTGATGGTGATGTTACCTCTAGTACAATTGATGGATTAAAAGAAGGGACTCAATATGAATTCAGAATCAGAGCTGTAAATAAAGCAGGACCTGGTGAACCTAGTTCTTCAACAAAGCCCATAATCGCTAAATGCAGATTTGGTAATGTTTATTTATTTATAATGATATAGAGATAATTGACTGTAATTGTAATTTAAGAAGATAGTCAAGGGTGTGACCAACTTATTAATTTTTTTTTTCAAACCCTTAAAAGATTTTTTTTAAATATACTAGATCTTACACATCCACATCATATATATTTTTCTTTACATTTACTAATAATAAAAGTATCATTTTTCATAAATTAGTGCGTGTGTGTATGTGTGTGTGTGTGTGTGTGTGTGTGTGTGTGTGTGTGTGTGTGTGTGTGTGTGTGTGTGTGTGTGTGTGTGTGTGTGTGTGTGCGAGTGCGTGCGTGTGTGCGTGCGTGCGTGCGTGTGTGTGTGTGTGTGTGTGTGTGAATAGTCTACCGAATGCTTACATGCTTATGGCCCCATTATCTTACACCTGATATAATGAAATGATGTGATTGCTACTTTTTTATGCTGAAATCTATTTTGTACAGTAGGGAAAATACAATAAAACCTACAGAAGTTATAAAAATGAATAAATAACATAAAAACTATATACTGTCATTAAAGTGTATTAATAAGATAAAACTAAGCACACCGTCACATGTTTTATATCTTATAAATTATTATTCAATAATTGTGTTCAAAGTATGTTGCTGTTTGTTTATCAGTATTTGTTATATAATGAAGTTGGGTTTTAACATGTTAGGAGTATGTGCTGTATCCATTTGTGTGTGTACCGTTTCAGAGATTTCTATAGTTTCCTATTGTCTAGATCATGGGATTATCAGATATTGTTGTAAGCTCAAAGAATCTTTGTGTTTTTATATATGTCTGGAATGTTACAGCAACTTTTTTGTCAAAATTAACTCACCAAAACTGGTACCATCAATGGTACGAAAATGACTTCAATGACTTAATCTTACCATGCTGATGTAAAATTAAATAGTCTCTAACATCATATTGGTATTAATCTCATTAAAATAATAATAATAACCTGGGGCTTTTTTTGTTTTCAGAAATTTAATAATATTGCTTGTTTCTTTTGGTGTTACGAGAGTGAAGTTGAGAGGAATTGGATTCCGAAGAAACGTTTTCACTATTCTATTTACTTTGTTATTGTGGTTGTGTGATCCAAAATCATTGGTAATTTGAATTGTTGAACAAAAAAATTCTGCTAATGGTTTTGTTTTATTATCAGAAAATTTTTAAATATTTAAAAAAATAATTAATAATAAATAATATGAGGACTTCTGGTCTCCCACCTCAGAAACTCACTCCACAAAGCAAGAATAAAAAAAAGAAATAATAATAATAATGCCGGGATCCCCAACGCAACGATAATAATGTAAGTCCCACTGTGGGAGAAAAACTCAGAAAATACCTGAAATTGGCTATAGAATTAAAGGAACTATGTAAATTGGAAAGCCGTCTAATAATTTAATGTGTGATATACATGTCATACATGCATGGCTTTACTTTTAATTTGTTGGTCTCTGATCTCAAAGGTTTAGAATAGACCACTGTCTTTCAACATCCTCCATACATAAAAGTGATGAGGTGTTAAAAAAAGTATTATTTAATTTGGTGAAATACTTGCTAAAAACATTGATTCTTTGAGGAGGCAGAATTTCAAAACTAATAATTTTTTTACAGAACTTGAAGTGATTTTCATATTCTACATTCATTATTTTAATTTTTGAAACCTACCAACAATAATAAGATTTTTTAATGTTATTCAACAGTGAAACCTTTCATTATTGGAGAAGGCTTAGTTAATCTAGTTGTGAAAAAAACACAAGTGATTAAATATGATATCAAATATGGAGGAGAGCCACCACCAGAAGTGAAATGGACTTTAAACGGAAAAGAAATAGTCGATGATAATGACAAGTAAGTGATACATATTTAATTCAAAGTTGATACTGTGGATTTTACTGTAAACTTAATATTTGTCTATCTACAATTTTTTTAGACAATTTTTTTATTTTTATTTTTATTAAGGTTATGGTAATAACCAACTAATTGGCTGTTAATGCAGTCTATTATCTATAATTATAAATTTGGACTAAGAGAGAAACACTTTATTTTCATACAAAATATAAAATATAAAAGCTTGATGCCCAATTATATTGGGTTGCTATACAAACAACATACTCGTTAATCCGTAGGGCAACAAATAAACTTATATATAAATATACAGAAGTGGTTAGTTTATATGAGTATTATATATATATTTATATATATATATATATATATATAATATATATATATATATATATATATATATATATATATATATATTTTATTTTCATTGTTCATACTTTTTTTTTTCCTTTTTTTTTAACATTTAATTTCCCTTTCTCTTACTTCTCTCTCTTTTTCCATCTTTATAAACCTCTTATATACACAATATTAAGGTGCTTAAAATCATAATAGAACAAAAACAAAAGTGTATACATCTAGAATTAAATAAAATTTAATTTAAAACAAATATAATAAACATTTTTCATTAAATAAATAAATTTCTTTATTTATTTATTTTTTTTTTTGTGGCATGAGTGCACTACGGCCATGTAGGCCTATTGTACGCCTAGTTTGAAGTCACTTCAGTTAGAGTGTAATTCCTGCAGTCTCTATGAACTGTAATAAGCTTGTTGGATTGATAAGTTTGTTTGCCTTGGGATCCTTTTCCTTATCAGTGCGAATAAACGAAATCTTAGCAAGTGACATGATACACTGTCTCATCCTCCTGGCCACAGTACCTACAAAGAGACGACTCTATCAATCGGAATTGAACATATGATAATTCAGTTTACAGTGCCCTGTATATGCTGCTGTAATTTTCTTAGGTGAGCTCCTGCTCAAATTAATTAGTAAGTTAGTTCTTTTTTGGCAGATTCCTACCAAAAACAGTCTTAAGTGGGTCTGCTTTTTCAAAGACCATTTCCTTTTGTTTTCAGCACCTTATATCTCCCCGATTCTGTTTGTTGTCAGACACTGACTAATACCACAGATGGGTTCCGGAGCTATTGGTGTTGTTTGAGAGCCTTGTCTGGCTAGTTCATCAGCCATTTCATTGCCATAAATTCCCGAGTGACCCAGAATCCATTCAATGTATACCTTATTAAGTCTAGACAATTCGTTGAGATTTCTAACACAATCCCCAACTACCTTGGATCTAATTGTATAGTTGTCCAGTGCTAGTATGGCCGCTTGACTGTCCGTATATATTGCTATTCTCCTCCCAACTAACCCGTCAAGCAGCATTTTTGAAGCACAGTGAGTTATTGCCAGTATTTTAGATTGAAAGACTGTTGCGTAATTTCCAAGTGCTATTGACATGCCCTCCTCTGGTTCATCCCTTCTCCAGAAACCAGCGCCAGATCCGAATGTCATAAGTGACCCATCAGTGTAACAGTTGATCCCATTAATGGGCTTATATTTACCTGAGCTGCCTATTTTAACCTTATACATCATTGTGAGAAATTCTCGGGTTTGAGTGTCAGAATGCATTGTAAGCAGTCTGTCAGCCTCAATTTTTCTAATTATTCTGTAATGTCCCTCCAGGGTATTTATCTTTGAGCATAATTTTAATTTCTGTAGCCTGTAAAAAGTTTTCATGGCCTGATTATCAATCTCCAATTGCATTGGTAATATACCTAACATTATCTCCATGGCTGCAGTTGGAGTAGTTTTCATTGCGCCTGTTATCATTAAGCAGGCTATTCTTTGTACTTTTTCCAATTGAGCTGGGACTCCCGACTCATATGGCAGGTAACCCGCCACTATGGTCAGTGTCCTTTTGTCTTTTGATGTGGTGAGTTTGGCTGCTACCCAGTCCCTAGAACAAAATTGCCAAAGAGGCAATAGTTTTAGTGATTTTTTATGTAGAATATAGGCTCTGGGGTTGGTGGCAACAGAAATAATTCCATAACCATTAATTCCCAACCCACTGATCCTGTTATTACTTAAGTAAGGTTCTTGGATTAATATGATATCAATATCCTCACCTTTGATGTAATGTAGGAGCACCCCACTAGCAGCAATGCAGTGGTGTAGATTTATTTGCAGCAGCCTGATCAGGTTTCTTAATCGATAGACATGTTGGACGGACTTCCGAGTGGAGACCATGGCAGGCTTTCACCCTCAGACCCAGCCTTAACTGAGTCTTTGGGATCAGTCCCTCCTTCGGCTTCCTCCTGTGCCCATTGTCCAAAACTTCTTACGTTGAAAGTATTGGAGGGCTGATTATCCGGTGGTTCCAGTTGTTCCCTCCTCCTGGTTTTCCTCCGGACCCAACCCCCTTTACCCTACTTGATCTTCCAGGGGCCTGCCACACGGACGACGAGGATGGCTGGGATTCACCAGGCAAAAGAGCTTCCACTCCCCCACTCGGTTTCACCCCCCCTCTCCCGCAACCCCGCAGCCGGCCCCCTTCCGACTAGCAAGGTGACTAATTGGTGGCAGATCCTCTGATCCACCATAGTTTGGAGCTTAAGCCTGAATGCCTTCCAGGACCTCCTCCTCTTCCTGTGGCATTGAGGATTCTTCCTTATTTTGATCTTTCAATACTTTGAAAGTAACTCGGCACCATCCATAGCCAGCTTTCATGCCGTGTTTTTTAAGGTTTTCCAAGCTGGAGTCAGGGATTCTAACGATGGCGAATACCTTGTTCATCTCTTTAAGGTAGTGCAGATACCACTCATTCACTCCTTCAATTGTGGTATTCTGTGTTCTCAGCCTTTTCATTAGGGCCTCCTCGGTAAGCACCTTCCCCAGAAAGAAGGCCCCAATCTTCGAAGTTTTTGTTAGTTCCTGTGCATCCCCCGTGTGAAGGGTGATACCCTCCACCAGGTTGATGCTTGGGATGATTTTGTCCAGCCATGTGCATGTCTCATTGTTCATGCATGCGACAATTCCTCCCCCCATCTTGTAGCTATCGCCATCAAAAAGTGGGTGGTATTGTCCATGTTCATCAAGCTCATCCACCTTTTCAGCGATGAGTTCTTTCAGTGCCTCAACCTGTTCGCGGTTGAGCATGGCTAGCGGATAGTTCGTGGGAACCACCACAACCAGCTGACCTCTCAAGGCTGAGGCATAACTTCTGTTTACTGCTTCTCTGGGTTTCTTGGCAATAGGTGCCGAGGTTCCCAGTGAGGTTCTTTGCCTTTTTCCCGTCATTGAGGCCGGCGCCCTGGCCTCCACAGCCTTGGGCGTAGGCTCTCGAGAAACCTCTATGTCTTTAGCTGGTGGCCCAGAGGTCGATCCCATCTGGGTTAATGTTTTCTTGGAGCCTTTTCAGTGGTCAGTTCAGCCTTGGTCGCCGGTCCATAATTGGCCCTTGCAATTTTAGCTTCCCGCCCACCGCTAGGATCCTTGGTGTCCTGTTGCGTTCTAGGAGCAGAGACCTTCATGTCGGACTCCTCGGCCTTGTATACAGGGTCTGGGATGACCCTTGCATCCTTAGCCGAGTGCCGTAATGTAGGTACCGCTTCCGGATGTGTTTTTAAAATGATTTTGGCAGCCATTCTGTTTCTCCTTTGCCGCCTTCTCATTGTTTTAGTCTGTTTCAGTGTGGCAGGGACTGCTTATTTCAAAAAAAGACCACCGCCTACCATCTGAATTTTTGGATCGGCCAAGCCTGTTATTGGGCCTGTCTCTTGAAGGTTTTGTGAAGGTGGGGCAACAGCTCCAGCCTCAGCTATGGTTACCCTCCTGATTTCCTCTCCTTCATAATTTACCTGAAGTCCCTTAACTTCGGCCGTGAGAGATCTGAAAATATCTCCCATTGATGCCTCATCAAAGGTAATATCGAAAGAGGTCCCTGACAAGTCAGTGTGTTTATGTTCCGAGGAAGAAGAATCTTCCTCAGAATAAAAAGTCCATCCAGTCTGTCCGTCTTGTTGTCTAAGTTTGTTGGGTTTTTTTTATTGGTTTCCTGCACCTTGTTCCCACGAGTATAGGGGAAAATAGACTGTATGTACTGCCCCCTCTCCCTACAGCCGGCTACTATAAAAAGGGAGGTCGCCTGGTGCCCCAAGTGGGTCGATAAAAGACAGCATATTTTTACCCACCCCCTGCCACTCAGCCTCAGCCCGAGCTCCCTGACCTAGCTTGGGTGCCTAACAGGCAAAACACTTTAATTAAACAAATACATTAATTAAAACTCTCAGCCTAGCATGGACGTGGTGGTGATTGATTCTCAGGGAGTCAAGGACTATATTTTCAGCCAAGCTCGCTACGTCCTTAATGTCGACACCTAGTTCCTTGAGGAAGCTCCTTGTCCTTTTTGGAAGTGTTTCGCAAGACCCAAACCAAGACGATGAACTCTCTCTCTCTGAAGGTCTCACGGAATTTCGCTTTTAGGAAAGGGATACATTTATTATACGTGTTCTTCTTTTCCCTTTCCACTTCACCTGCCTGATCAAGGCAATTGCTGCCTGCATCGAGGCGGTTGGATCCAAGATCAGCACTGTCCTTCCTGTCTTGGGAAATGCGATAATATCCGCATATCTCATAAAGCCTTCACTATCTATGAAATATACCTCGTCAAAGCAGATGAATTTCCTTTCCGTAAGGAGCCTGATCAACTCGAACTTGACCCTATGGTGACGACATGTTATGAGGAGGGAGTTGTTGATTTTTCCCAGCACATGGGCTGGTGTTTCAGACTCTCTGCCGCATTTACGGCAGAGGAACCCAACTTCTCTGACCTGTCCGCTGACACCTGGGACTCCACACAGGAATGTATAATTAATGTTTAGTTTTAGGGCTTTCGACCGTTCAGACCCAGAAAGTACTAGCTTTTCGGAGAGGTATCTATTCGCTTTCGGGGTCTCTTTAAAATGGCGAACACCAATACCCTGCCACCTGCAGTTGGCCCATTCCTCAAATGAATTTTCTTTTAGCGACTGCCGTAGAGCTCTCACATTTCAATGACCCTAATCAACCCCCAATCATTCAGCAACTCAGCCAAATAATCAAAGGTAGATTGGAAAAGGGCATCTGGTACATTGGAGAGTTGCTGAGCAATGGACCAATGTTGAAGAGGAGCCTCCCATTGGCAGCAGATTAATCCCAATCCTCGGTATCTCCTGGGGGCATAGAACATCGTTGTGGAAATATTCGCAGGGAGTCCAATAATGGCCTTTACGCTCCTGCAAATCATAGTGTCAATGCCGTCTAGTATGGTAGGACGCAGCTTTGTGAGGGGCGCAATTTGGAGAGGATAAGTAAGATTCGGGAACAGATATTGATTGACAATGTTGAGTTTCTGCTCAGGTTTAAGTAAGCAAGAGGTTACCAGCTTGTTTAGATTATCATTCAATTTAGTCACTGAATCTTCATTGAATCATAGCTCTCCCCAGAATGTACATCCTAAATACTTAATTGTCTCTCCATTCTTGAATGTTTGGATGTACTCTCCATTCTCAAGGGAGAGCACCACAGTTTCCAGCTCTCCAGCTTCCAGCTCTTATTTAGAACGATGCCCATACTCGTTTAAAGTTTTATAGCCAAACCATTTCCTTGAAATGTCTTCTGTACACTATCAATCACTCTTTCTGCAGCCCCCTTGTCTCGCGCCGACACAGCCTGGTCATCCACAAAACCTGTGAGGACCACACAATCTTGGTCATTTCTTAATTTATATCCGAATTTCTTGGAAAAGTCCTCATCGCACAGGTCGTGGTAGAGATGGTCGATGGTCAGGTTGAAGAGCGAAGATGACAGGGGGCCGGCCACCTTGGTGTACACTGTGCAGCACTTTGATCTGGCTAGTTGCATGGACGCCATTACTAATCTTTATAGTATTCATGCTAAGGAGAGCTGATATGACATTTTTAAGATTTGGTGACACACCTCTTGCTTCTAGAGAGCTCACGATGTGATTGTGGCCAACATTGTCAAAAGCACTGACGTCGAGGAAAACTATCATTTTTCATTTTCTGTGCATCTTTTAATATTGCGTTGATGTTCGTTCCCGGGAGGCCTTTTATAAAGCCTCGCTGATTCCTGTGGAAGGTGACCTGCTTTCTTAATTCGTGGTCCAGAATCTTCTCTATGATTCGGTGCACAATCGAATAGATGGTGATCGGTCCCCAGGTTGAGATATTGTTTATATCACCTTCGCCCTTATATATTAATATTGTGTGCCCCTGTCGAAGTGGTTCTGGGACATAGGCCACCTTCAGCATTATCTCTATAATCGTTTTGATAATATTTGATACGTCAAAATATTTGATTGTGCGGATCACAACTAAATCAGGCCCCGGCGATTGATGTTAATTTAATGGCTTTCCTGACAGCTTCTATTTCAATGGAGAGCAAATTTGGCATCAGAGCACACTGTTCGTAATCCCGCAGAGATTTTCAAAGATGTCTTTATAATGCCTCTCAATTTCGGCCATATTTAGAGGACAGTGTTTAAGAGCGTCGCCATTCATAACAGTTTGTACAACCTTTTTTGTTGTAATAATTATATTCAGCAACCTCATACTGATACTGCTCCTGTCGACGATCCCTGTCTTTTTTGTTTGCTCTCTGCGGATTTGAAACTTGTCCAGCACCCTTGTCAGCCATTTTCATTTTATTTATTTTCCTCATCCTATAAAATTTGATGGTTGGGTGCTTCATTCGAGATTATGCCCACCACGCGCATGATTGAAACAATCTGTTAAAGGAGTTTGAAATGTATAATTAAATAAATAAGTAAAAAATTAAAAACTATAAAATCAATTGTTAAAAAAATTTAGTTAGAATATAAAATCGATAAAAGGTTAAAAAGTATAAATCTATCAAATAAATTGTCTATAAATAAATTACAATATAGAATCAGTAAAAAGATAAAAGATAAAATTTAAGAAAATTAGTCGCTTAAAAATAAGTGAAAGTTAAAATCTAAAAAAGTTAAAATCTAAAAAATAATTACCTAAACTGAGTTACAATATAAAATCAATAAACTGTTAAAATCTCAAAAAAGAAATAAATATAATAATTGCCAAAAAATCAGTTAAAAATTAAAATATTTAAGTATAAGAAGTTAAAATCTAATAAACAACAATATATATACACACATCCACATCACATTAGTAAATTCAATATATTTTCTAGAGTATAAAATAAAATATAAGATCATTAAAAAATTAAAATATAAAAAAAAAATTAAAAAAAAAAATCAATTTACCAATAATAAGTTAAAATATTTGTACATATGTGGGTCTACTTTAATAATTTGATTTAAAAATTCATAGAAATAATAAACTATGATAACAAAAACTAAATATTTTTTTTGTATTTTATGAGAGAAAGGGATCGAATATATAAACCAGGTAATAGTAAAATTAGTTGGGCTCCTTTGATGATTGTATCAATAAGACGACACTGACCTTGCTGGAGGTGGATGCTGACAAGTGGTGGGGGCTGACAAGTATTAGGCTGCACAGCGATAAGAAGTCCAATCCAACAAGTACATCAACTTTGTTGCCTTCTGATCCTGGCCAATATCCTCGCTCAATTTTCATAAGATTTCATATGCAGGTCTTTAACACACAGCTCCGTCTAGGTGCAAAATTTCAGCTTAATCGGACGAAAAATACTCAATCATAGACGACGATGAAGTGGAGCCGATCTTTCTCTCTCACTGGTTCGAGCCGAACTTGTAATGAAAAACGATTCATTCTATCACTCTTTACAGTTATTGTTTGTACAATTTATTATAGATCAAAAATAATAGTAACATTTTGAATCAATGATTTTGTTTTGTTGTCATTTCCTCTCATTTTTTAAAAAAGCTGGAATCAATGATTAATTTAAAATAAAAATATGTTTTAATTAATTTTAAATAGTATAATTTTGAAATTATTTAAGTGATTACTGGCTGTTATAATAATATGTAGCAGTAAGTTTAAAATTGTGTGACTAATGCAAAAATATTAAAATATGTCCCGTCTAATCAAAAACATTAGAACATTAATTATATTATTAAATACAGTTGATAATTTTTTTAATATGAATGAATTACTTTTTTATACATATAATTTAATTTTAAAGGATCACCATTGATAAATATGAAATGAATACTGTTTTGACTGTCAGACGAGCTGTAAGAAATGACAGTGGAAAGTATAAATTGACATTAACCAACAGTTCTGGTACTTGTGAAAGTGTGGCTGATGTTGTTGTTTTGGGTATGTTATTTTTAAGAATTTTGAAATAGTTAATATATAAACAATTAATTAATTAATTAATAAGTTAATACAATTATTAAACCTTAAACAACTTACAAATAAATAAAAACATATTTCACAAAATGACCTACATACCAGAACTTACAAACAAAATTAAAAATGTTTTCAGAAACTATGATCTTTCAGAAATCAAAGTTGGACTGTACAACAGCAACAAATTAAGTAAATGCATAACTATCACTAAAGACAAAATAGAAACAACTGTCAAGAAAAACGTGATGTACAAATTAAATTACCAAAACTGTCAACAAATTTACATAGGTGAAACCACGAAAAAAACTCAAAACCAGAGTAACCCAGCACATCTTTATCTGCAAAAAAACCAACATCAACAATACAGCATTAGCAGCCCACAGCATAAAATTATAATATAAATTCAATTTAAAAAATCCGCAAATATGAGGAACAAAACAAAAGAACAAAAATATAAAACTTCTTGAAGCAATACACATCACATAAAACAATAGAATAACCATTAATTTCAAAACCGATGCAAAACATCTGTACACACACTATTCTGACATAAATAACAACATTAAAACTCAACAATATTAACATCCAACAAAAAATAACATACTTCCATATAAAAAGAAAAACAAACAATAGATTCAAAGTACAATGATAAATTTTAATCTTGGTAATGCTGACCAATTGTTGGTTTGGTAATGTGTAGCCCCATGAAAAATATTAATCAGTAAAATATGAAAATTTGACATTGTGACATGAAGACCATGACAGAAGGAGCACACTTTTCAAGGTAGTAAATATTCTTGTTCAAGTTAATAAATCTAACTAATAGTAATATCTTCTTATAATCATGCATGTATTTCAGAATTTGAATTATAATGAAAAAATAGCTCAGAGGGTGGGATAAAATCTTGATAACATCAGCAAGATGATATGAAATATAGCATTAAATTATAAAGAAGTTTTTCATTGCTAATCTATTATGGAATTATGGAGCGTAATTTGTCTTCCAAGTTATGATATCAGGAACATTTGCTGTATGAGGTCCTGCCCAGCACAGTGAATATGGTTCACTTAATGCTTATCTGTCCCCAAGTGCTCCTTTTATATCCACTATAATTGGTCACCTTGGTTATACCTGTACCACTACAACCCAAGGTCTTTGGTTCAGTACTTTGTGAGGAAGTACTGTTTCAAGGCCAATGGTTGTGTATGGAAGTGATTGGGCCGAGATCATGCTCAAGTATCAGGTTTTTCCCCTTAATCAATCATTTAATTAAGAGTACATACTTTATAGGGATCGGGTTTGCCCTAGGAGGGTCTCCTGATCCCAGGGTCAAGCTTTGTCTGGTGCAATAGAATAAATAATTACCTGACATAGGCAGACTAGAACCCAGGACCTTAATCATTTCATCTTATTATTGGATACAAAAGAAAATATATATATGGTTGTGGTTACTTAAATGTATGTATGTGACTGAATTAATTAAATTTTTAATATACTTAGTTTGGTCTAGTTAACAGTCACCTTATTATAGAGTACATAATAATGTTAATTAAATCAAACAAAGTGTATTAAAATTTTGTTAAATTCAGTTACAACCATATTTTTCCTCCCATTTTATTTATTTAATCAAAGATGGAATTCATAACTGTAGAATTCACAAATTTATCTTTTTTAAAAAAATACAAAAAATAATTTTTTTTTTTTATGATACATAATTTCACAAGATTTATTCAAAAAATCTAAACAAAAACTTATGAAAATATTTTTAATAATAAATACAGAAATAAACATGTGTTTGGACATTGCAGTATTTTTTACAAATTTTATTAGGTTTGCTTAAGTTGCTTAATTTGATGATGAGGATTGCAGTCTCAAAGAGGAATACAAATAAAAATTAAAATAATTTATTTTATTTTGTGCTAATGTTCCGGTCTAAGTTTCAGGCCTTCATCAGTACTAAAGAAAGATAAAATTATTCACCTCTTAGAATTTATTTATTAATGGATAGCATATATTTTTAATATGTTTGTAATAATTTTTGTTTCTTCTTTCTTCAGCAATGAAGAAGGTCTGAAACATTGGCACAAAATAAAATATTTTATTTTTATTTGTGCTTCTCATTAGGGAATGGGGTAGCTCAGTGAGTGAGCACTGACTTCCAGAGCTCAAGGTCTCATGTTCGAATCCGGCTGTTGACTTGTAATTTTTCATCAGCTGTGGGTCGACCCAGGGCTGAGAGACCCTCCTGGGGCAAACCCAGCCTCTATAAAGTGGCTACTCTTAATCAAATAATTAATTTAACCTGGCGGTTGAGCCTCCCTGCACAACCGTTGGCCTTGTAACAGTACTTCCTCACATTGTACTGAATCCATAACCCTTCATGGGTTGTTACTTGTACAGTTTTTTTTCTGTTTCTCATTGTGACTGCAACCCCCAACTAACTTCCCATCCTGATTAGGGAGTAACAAAATATTGATTCTTTAATTATTAAGCAACAATTTTACTTTATTTTCATAGAATTATAATAATTCTGTTATTATAAGCTGATATAATATTTGCAATGGCATACATTATATGGCTAAAGTGGGTGGGGGACAAAGTACCGTTCTGGTTTGGTCAATTCAAAAATGTCTTGGTTAATTAATTTCAAGCTACTGAGGGATAATATTTATTTAATATGTAATAAAGTTTAGCTTTATTTTTCTGATTGGAATTGGTTACTAACCATTACTTAACTTGTCTAACCATTTTTTCTCTAGTTGTACTACTTAAAGAATAAAGTTCAATGACCAATTGTAAGATACCTTAAAACAATTTTCATTTTTGTTTAGTTTTGTGACATGTTAGTTTTGAGAAATATCTTTAATTTTTATTTTAGATAAACCATCTAAACCAACTGGGCCATTGGAACCTATTGAAGTTCGTGCAAACCATATTAAAGTAGAATGGAAAAAACCAAAAGACAATGGTGGATCTGAAATAACAGGTTATGTTATAGAAAAAATGGATTTAGAAACTGGAAGATGGGTACCTGCCGGAGAGGTAAGTTTCGAAAATGTTTTATCCACAATTAATTCAGGTTATCTAATTACAAATATTATCTCATTATATTTTGATTGATTTATTATTAAGTAAGATTTTTCAAGCTACTGGTAAAACTTTCCTTATATTATATATTAATATTTTAAAAGTATATCTATAGGCAAATGACTTATATAAGAATCTAGTGGGAAGAGCTTTGACAAGGAAGTTATGCCTAAGGAGGAGAGAAGCCTTCTCACTCTTAATTTTAGTTATAACTTGTCAATTATTTTATTATGATTTTTTTTTTTGTTTCCCATTCATGATTTCAATTCATAACTTGATTGTTGTTTCAGTAAAACAAGGTTATTATAGGGCACTAAAATGTTTATACATAAGCAATTTACCTATAGAGTGCAGGCATGCCCATCCCCCAAGGGCGATATCTCTCCCACAACCAAGAAATTTTATTGTTCTCTTATTTAAAACAGTGCAAGCCAAAGTAGAATTAGAAAAAATATTGATCATGTACAATTCAGTTGCTGTGTCCTGTTCCAGGATATCCCCGTTTTCTCTTGATTTGAAAGTGTCTCAAAATTGGAAATGCCCCCCTCAAAAATTTTAATGTCACAGCTAGCACCATGCAATCCCCTTCTGAGCATCTCTGGCTGAGTGGCCAAGACAAAAAGTACAAAATAACAGAGTGGTCTTCAGGGAGATGGATGTAGACAAATCTCTGTTTTATTTTTATTTTTAAAAGAGTTATGTTTGAAGATTGAACACATTCAAAAACATATCATAGCTTGAAATTTAAAGATTGTGATTTTTTTCTTTTTATGAAACTTCCAAACTGACTGGTGGTTCGGGTAAATTTTAATATAATGTTCAAAACTCTTGTAGCTAACAACCATCCAAATTTATTTAAGTTCCATTTATTATTTTGAAAGTTATGGGTACTTACTTGACCTAACTCCTGTAGCTCCCAGTGAAGCGAAGGGTCTCAACGAACAACTTCCATCCATCCCTGTTACCAGTCAGCACCTTCACCTCACATCAAGTCTTTTCTACTTGTTCCGCCTAATTCAGCACAGATCCCTTCCAGTTTATGTGAGGTCATCCTCTTTGGCCTGCTCCTTGAGAACAAAAGCATTAATCTACTACTTTATTTGATGCCAAATGATGATACTCAGAGTACCATTTGCTCATCTCTGCTTACTGCTTAAGTTGATACAGTGCATAATAACCTTTTAAGAATTTTTTTGTTGCTATACCTAACAATTTTACATATGCATTTTATCTGCTGCAATGTAATCACATCAACTATATTTAATGGGTACAGATCACACAATTCGGCTTTGTGTAATTATCTAAATTCTCCGATTGATTCATACTTCCTCGGTCCGAATATTCTATGAAATACTATATTTTCAAAAACTGTAAGACATTATTCATCCTTTAATGTAATGTTTCACATTGTTTCATATATAAAGAAAACTATAATAGGATAATTGTTTTGTCAATTCTAATTTTTAAATTTTGGAAAAACAGACACGAGCTAATAATTTTTGTCATCCTCCCTGGAAGGTGAGAAAAAATTTTATCTTAAAAAATGTCACTGAACAACCAGCTCTTTTGTTATTATTATTATAATTGAAAAGTGAATTGTAGTAAACAAATAATTTTCATTTATACTTTGTACTCAAAAATAACAAATAATTTAAAAAATCTAAATATTCTAGCTGAAAGTAGTTCCTTGAGTGCTCTGATCCCTTGGAAACTATTTTTAATTGAATTTTCGGAAAAAAATGAAGCAACTATACCATGTTTTAGATTCATAGACGTCAATTATCCAGTTTAGGAATTTTGACAGCCATTTCATGGCAAAATACTAGATTAAACAAAATACACATTTCTTTTCATATGTGTGTATATATATATATATATGTGTGTGTGTGTGTGTGTGTGTGTGTGTGTGTGTGTGTGTGTGTGTGTGTATGTGTGTGTGTGTGTGTGTGTGTGTGTATGTATATTTATATTGTTAGGAAGTCAGTCAATATTGATATTTTTGTTTTATAAATATTTAAATGATTTCATTTTGTTAAAATATTCAGATTTGAAAAACTCTGTATTTATCTGTCTTGGTGCTACAACTTGGTGGTGAGTCTTGGCCTCCTCCACCAGCTTCCTCCAGTCATCTCTGCTCTGTGCAGCCATCATCCAACCTCTGACTCCCATGATATCCCGTGCATCTTTTGCTACATCATCTGACTATCTGAGTTTTGGTCTTCCCTCTCTTCTAATGCTGTGTAAAGGTTCCATCAAAACCTTTTTAGGGATTGCTTTATAGTCCATCCTAACCACGTGGCCAGCCCATCTCAGTCTATCAAGTTTCATTTTTAGAACAATGTCTTCTTAATCAAAAATTGAATAAATTTCGATATTTGTTTGCCTTCTCCAGCTTCCATCAATATGAATTCCTTCAAACAATTTTCAAAGAATTTTCCTTTTGAAAACTAGGAGATCTTGTTCAATTTTCTTACTAGTTGTCCATGTTTCTGATCTATACAATAAAACTGGGCGGATTAATGTTTTGTATAGATGAAGTCTGTCTGGTCTTACAGGATAGAAGGCGAGAGGTGAATTTCTTGCGGTGGCAAAGTAGCACCTATTGGCCATCAGTATTCTTTTCTTCACCTCAACCTCAGGTGTATTATCCTGAGTCACCAGTGAACCAAAATATATGAACTGAGTCACTTTCTCAAAATTATAGAGGCCATTATTGATAGTCTCTCCAGGTCAGGGTAATTCCTCTTTGAAATGAAATGAAATGAAAAAAAATATTTTATTATTCTGGGACTGTTGTCCCTTAAGAACAAAATATAAATACAGATTGTATGTCTTTGTGGTTACAATTAAATTGTATATTTACAATAAGAGTTGACTTAAAACACCGGCGGATCTACGGGGGAGGGGGAGGGCTTTCGTGCTGAAGCCCCCCCAAAATGGGAAAATATAGCCGTGTTTTTTCGAAAAAAATATTTAAAAAGTATCTCTTAAAGTATTATTGTTTGTGTGATTACATTTAAAGGGGCTTTAGGAATCACTTAAACACCATTTCATACAGGTAGTTAGTTTCTTTCTTCTTTTCCAAAGTAATTATCGTTATTTTTATGAAAAAAACACCTTTCGGGCTGAAGCCCCCCCAAAATTATATCCTGGATCTGCTAGTGACTTAAGATAAAAATACTGAAGAGAAAGAAAGAAGAGAAAGAAAAGAATAAGTTAATTGTACACATATATGAGAAACTAAAATAACCTTAGTAAATTGAGATTTTTAAAATAATTAAAATAACCTTAGATATTTCTCTTAAGTATATTTCACAATCAGTCGGATTGAGAAAGCAGTAGGTGCTTAAAGAGGAGAGGTTTGAAAGAGGAAACTGATTGAGAGTGTCGAATATCAGCAGGGATGGAATTCCAGAGGGAGGCGGCTTGTATTGCAAAAGATTTGTCAAATGCAGCAGTTCGGTGAGGAGGAGGATAGAGGTTGGAAGTACGAGATCTGGTGGGACAGGATTGGATGGAGTATTTGAATTGTAAGCTGTGAAAAATATAGGAGGGTCGATGAGTTCTAATGATTTGGTACAGAAAGGTGGCTAGGAAGTACTGACGGCGATAGGATGGGTAGAGCCACCTCAACTCAGTGTAATACTGGGTAATATGCATATCCCTTGAGATTTCGAAAACAAGTCGTAGTGTGCAATTCATTAGGCGTTTAAATTTGGCCTCGGAATCTCCCGAGAGTCCACCGTACACCATACAGCCATAGTCAAAGTGGGGGAAAACAAGGGAGGAAACTAGGAGTTGACGGGACTTATATGGAAGGAGATATCGTAGACGATTGAACTGTTTTAGGGTGGAGATAGTGCGACGGGAAATTTGGGAGATGTGAGGTTTTCAGGATAGGGATTGATCCAAAGTAACACCTAGGTTTTTAACAGTGGTGTGGAATAAGATAGGTGAGTTGTTCAGGAGGAGATTGGGGGATACCGGGGAGGATTTGAGGAGTGAGGGGGATCCGATCAAGAGGGCTTTTCTCTTCTCGCCGTTCAGAGTGAGCCTATTGAGGTTTGCCACTTATTCTGTCAATGTCTTCCTGAAGTTTTAGAGTGGCATCTGAGATATTAAATCTGTCGGATTAAAGGAGAGGTAAATTTGAATGTCGTCGGCATACAGGTGATATTGACAGTGCAGGATAGAGGATGGGAGGTCATTTATATAGATGGAGAAAAGGGTGGGGGATAAGGAAGAGCCTTGTGGGACGCCTTTGGTCAGAGGTAGAGATTCTGATGGGGGGTTATTAGGAATTACAACGTACTGGAAGCGATCGGTAAGGAAGGATTGGAACCAATTGAGGGAACTAGAAGAAAAGGAGATATTTTTAAGTTTGGTTAGGAGGATGTTGTGGTCTACTTAATCAAAAACTTTGGAGAAGTCTAGGAGAATAAGGATGGTTAGTTTCTGCTGATCTAAGACTGTGTGAAGGTCTTGGGAAATTTTGATTAGGGCAGACTGAGTAGAATAACCGGGCCTGAAACCGGACTGGTAGGGATTTAGGAGATTATTGTCCTCTAAGAAATGGGATAGCTGGGATTGCACTAACCGCTCTAAAGGTTTTGAGAGGTTTGAAAGGAGGGAAATCGGCCGGAAATCATTAGGAGCTGATGGATTTAAGGTCTTCTTCAAGAGGCGTACTAGGGAGGTTTTCCAGGATGTAGGGAAGGTAGCATTTTGAAGAGAATAATTATATATATGATAAAGGATCGGAAGAATGGATGGCAATGCGGCTTTAATCAGTCTGACTGGGATGTTGTCGGGACCGTAATCATTGGTATGGGACTTCTGAATGGATTTAAGGAGATCATCTGGTGTAATATGGGAAAGAAAGAAGTGATCAGGATTAAAGGAAGAGAACATAGGAGCCGGACTGGTCGTAGGGGATGTGGTTGCAAGAGGGCAGGAGACAAAGTGAGCATTGAGGTTATCAGCAGAAAGGGAATTGGACTGAGACTGGGGTGCATTACCAATGGTCAGTTTTCTATTTAGTTTTCTATCTAATAGTCCACGTTGCCTTGGTATTGGGAGAGTTGGATAGGGAATGATGGTAGTAACGGGATTTAGCTCGGCGTACTGCTGATTGAGTGCTATTTCGAAGCTGTTTGTAGGAGAGAAAATCATCAGGAAGTCGAGTTCGTTTAAACTGTCACCTTGCAGCATCTCTTTCTCTCATACACTCCCTCAAAGCAGGAGTAAGCCAAGGAGCTGGAGGATATCGGATGGTTTTTGTGATAAGAGAAGCATGTCGGTCGAGGATAGAGTGAAGTTGAGTGGTAAGGGTTTCTACCATGGTGTCTATCATGGTGTCAAAAATGGTTCGCCTTATCATGTTATGGATTTTTCACTTTCCACAAATTTGAGGAGATTGGTAGAATGCACCGTATGTCTTCTTTGTTTAATGTTTCCTAATAAAGAAGCTTTCATGTTAATGAATTTGCTCTATTGTACTATCTACTTTGATCTTGTCCTCATAAACACAGAAACTTTCCTCTTCTGAGAAGCTCATGAGTGATGACTGTAGATTTTATATTCAATATATAATTAACATTAATGTATTTATACTTTCAGGTTGGGCCACAAAGTCCTGCTTCTTTCACAGTTACTGGCTTAACTCCCAAAAAGAAATACAAAATAAGAGTAAAAGCTGTGAATAAAGAGGGAGAATCGGAGCCACTGGAAACATCAGATGCAATATTGGCAAAGAATCCTTATGGTAAGAATTATTAATAATTTTGGTCATGTTGTACCTTCCTCTACAACATAACCACTTAGATATATTTTTGTCATTATATATGCCATAGTCATTTAAGATATATACAGAGAATATCTACTTGATTCAGTAGTCTTGTAAAAAAAAATTAAGCAGATGATAATAATTGTTCTTTAGTTGAAATTATAAGATCCAAAAAAAGTGGAACATTTATAAAATTATTAGGAAAATAACATTAAGGTCTATACGTAATTCTTGTTTTAAGAGTATATCTAACTTTTGAAATATTGTTAAACCAAATTAAATCATCCCATTTGTGAATGCAATGATAGACTATATATGCACATAGTCTTGTATGTTAATATGAATGGATGAATTATAGTGATTGATATTAGTAGTAACTTATTTGTTAAGTTGACAGACCGATGTTATGAATTGTTTTATATTTTAGATGAACCTGGAAAACCAGGAAAGCCAGACATCATAGATTATGACAATAAAAGTGTATGTCTCAAATGGACCAAACCGGAATCCGATGGTGGACGTCCTATTACCTCATACACTGTGGAAATGAAAGACAAATTTGCTGTAGAATGGGTTGAAGTTGTGAATACTGGAAATGCTGAATGTGAAGGAAAAGTTGAAGGCCTTAAAGAAAACATGATTTATCAGTTTAGAGTAAGAGCACATAACAAAGCAGGAGCAAGTGAACCTAGTGAGCCAACAGCTAATCATTTATGTAAACACCGACATTGTAAGTATTTAACAATTAATTATCTAAATTTCCATTTGAAAAATTATTAATGTTAGTATTTATCAATAAACTCCATCTCATACTACAAGTAATTCATCTTTTAAAAAAATTAGTTTCAATATCTATATAATTTTAACAATCTAGTAAACTTTTTTTTTAAACAATGATGAAACTTTTTTTTTAAATTTCAATCAGAGAAATTATGAAAAATAATATAAGCTGTAATTATTTTTTAAATTTTAATTGTGATTGATAATCTTAAATCAAGATTTAAATAAACATATATAATTAGTTGTAACTTTTTAGATTATGTAATCTCAATTGGAAATTTCTCAAAAGATTTCAGTGTACCGCATAAAGAATAAAATGGAATAACTTAGGCTCATCAGTCAAGTCATAAAATAACACTATATATATAGTGTATCAATCGGCATATATATATATATTTTCCCGGATAATTTGGGAAATATGATTATTCCAGAACAGGTATTGATCAAAAATTACTCCAAGATTTCTAAATCTTCACTTTTAGACTTCTTAACTGTCAGATTACTGATTAAGAAACTAAGGGAAATATTATTAAACAGCATTCCTTATGACTAATCCAGCAGATTCTAGTTCAATCCAATGAGGTAGGGGATCTCAGAATATTTCCTTTCATACAAGACAATATTTCATCTAGTAGGAGAGGTATAAGTATAATACATTGGAAGCCATGTGGTCAAACACAGAAGGTTTAGATCTTAGAGGTAAGAGCTTACTGGATCAATGGAAGATAGACAATTAAAATGTTTTTTCTTCTTCCCCATTTTGATGATAACATCATTAAAACATATAAAAATCTACAACTAAGATTATTATTTTAAAGTGTCTGGATGATGACAGTCAGCCAACAGTGTTTAAGAAGTTCTTTTTAAAAACCAACAGTGCAAATAGAAATAATAGTGTTTTTGTTAACAAGTAAATATAGACATAGATGAGAAATTCATATCAACTGTTGCCCTCTGGCATTAATACTGACTGGGACCATGTTGCTTCCTCTTTCCTTATGTTTTTAGAGTACTTTTTTGACTTTTCAGAATTTAATGATAGAAGATATATCCATTGTATGAAAACATCATGTAAAGTTGCCTCTGATAATAAGAGATCAAGAAGTAGAGAAAATACCCCAAAAATTATCCTGTTAAACAAAAAACTATATGCTGTTCAAAAAGAAGTATGTCACCAACCTCTCCTGCCATCCAAAAAATGGAGCCCTGGCATTACTACAAAAACCTTCATGGTTGAGAAATTTATGTTGTTTTCCTCAAACCCATACTAGGTGTTGAGGGTACTTAATGTATAGTAAGGAAATATGGCACCAACTCTTACCACCAGAAAAGTTATATCACTACTCATGTTTATCAGGAATATTAAATACTTCTGACTATTGTTCCTACAGGCAATCAAAATTGTAGACACGGAGAGATTTTGGGTCAAAATCTTACCAACGATACAAAATTAATTTTATGGTGCCCCTGAGACATCCAGAAATTAGTAAATACCTGTCTGAGATGGAAGCAGATTTTTATACAGATGTTGGGATACTAGTTGATAAATAAAAGTTATAAGTTCCCAAACTAAAAAAACACAAATCTTTATTTCACTGTTTGAATAAATAAAATAAATGTTTCTTCTTCTCATATAAAAATAAACAAAATCAAATAAAATTCTTCTAAGAAATAAATAAATGTCAGCTTGAATAATAATAATAAAAAATATTTACATAAGTTTAATTTTTGTGGTAATACTTAGTTGGCTGATGTTCTTGTGTTCAACCTCTTTGGACAAAGTCAAGGCCAAGTAGGCTATTTATAGAAATAGTTAAAAACAACTTTGGCATTATATGGCAGGCTCACTCTGAACGCTGAGAAAATAAAAGCCATCTTGATTGGATCCCCTGCACTCTTCAAATCCTTCCCGGCATCCCTCAATCTTCTCCTGAACAACTCATCTATCTTATTCCATACTACCGTTAAAAACCTAGGTGTTACTTTCGATCAAACCCTCTCCTGGAAACCACACATTTCCCGAATTTCCCGTCGCACTATCTCCACCCTAAAACAGTTCAATCACCTATGTTATCTCCTTCCATATAAGCCCCGTCAACTCCTAGTTTCCTCTCTTGTTTTCCCCCACTTTGACTATGGCTGTATGGTGTACAGTGGACTCTCGGGAGATCTCTAGGCCAAACTTAAACGCCTAAGGATTTGCACATTACATTTTGTTTTCAAAATCTCAAGAGATACGCATATTACCCAGTATTACACCGAGTTGAAGTGGCTCTATCCATCCTATCGCCGTCAGTACTTTCTAGCTACCTTTCTGTACCAGATCATTAGAACCCATCGACCCTCCTATATTTTTCATAACTTACAATTTAAATACTTCATCAAATCCCGTCTTACTAGATCTCGCACTTTCGACCTCTATCCTCCTCCTCACCGAACTGCTGCGTTTGACAAATCATTTGCAATTCTAGCCGCCTCCTTCTGGAATTCCATCCCTGCTGATATTCGACACACACAATTAGTTTCCTCTTTAAACACCTACTCCTTTCTCAATCCGCCTGATTACGAAATATACCTAAGAGAGCTGTCTAGGTACCCCAGAGAATGTTTCTGTTATTTTAGTTTTCTCTATTTGTATTATCTACGCTTTATGTCCGCTTATTATGTATGTATATTTATGCTTTTCATGTCTTTTTCTCTCTTTCCGTCTGTATTTTTTACTTTTAAATAACCAATATTGTAAATATGTACTCTATTTATGACCACTTGATGCAAAACAACAGCAACTGGAAGCCAGAAGCATGATTCTCATTGATGTCAACACCTGATTCCAATTCTCGCAAAATTCTCCCCCTGCATATTCCTCCATATTGGCCAACTGGTCCTTATCATCAATTCTGACTTCCTTGACTGTTTAGTTAACAAAGGCCACTCTATTGTTCACCTTTGTGGCTTGATTCCCAAATCAACTCTACCTTCATTTATCAGAGATTCAATAAGCTGGAACTTCTTTCATTTACTTCTGATTGATAAAATTAATCAATTAATCTGTGTTTGACCACATGGCTTCCAATGTATTATACTTATACCTCTCCTACTAGATGAAATGTTGTCTGGTATGGAAGGAAATATTCTGAGATCCCCTACCTTATTGGATTGAACTAGAATCTGCTGGATTAGTCATAAGGAATGCTGTTTAATAATATTATCCTTAGTTTCTTAATCAGTAATCTGACAGTTAAGAAGTATAAAAGTGAAGATTCAGAAATCTTGGAGTAATTTTTGATCAATACCTGTTCAATACCTCTATTGTTCAATTTTGTGGCTTGGTTCCCAAATCACCTCTACCTTCATTTATCAGAGATTCAATAAGCTGGAACTTCTTTCACTTACTTCTGGTTGATAAAATTAATCTTATAGTTCCAGTGAAACCCCCTGAAAATTTAAATTATGCTGCCCATTCCTCCATACCTTAATCCAGCTATCTGTTTGAAATGCATTTTTACCTATTAGGTTTTAAAAAAGTTAGTGAAAATCCTACATTATGTCTCATAGATCTCATTCATATCTAGTATCAATGAAAATTACTATGGCATCACATAAGACATCCTTCTGACAGTTAATCAAACAATTTTTATTAAAAACTGATCAAGTGCTATTTTATCATTATTATCATACTTCTCTTCCTCATTACACATAATAATTCACTCTGAAACATATTTAAAATAATCCAAACACCTATCCCACTTGTCCACTCTTTTTTCTGACAATTTCCCAACTCTAACCATAACATTTAAAGAATTCTTTTCTTCACCAACTATTCCTTTTTTACCATCTCGACCTCTTCTGAAGTCGAAGTTTAATTCCTCTTAAATCCCTCTTATGTGATCTACATATTCCTTAAATCCCTGGACAATTTCCACCTAAAATTATAATTTTTCTCAAATATATCTAAAATTCTACATTAAAACAGCTTCTTTTCTGTTTTGGAAAGCATTCAATTATCACTCTTTTCCTGAAAGCAAGTGACTTCTAAACAGCACTACTTTCTAATGACTGATTTAGCTCATCTGAAAAAAACTCCTAAAACATATCCTGTCCATTGTTGAATCCCACAGTTTTTACTTTTATAAATTTTGATTCTACCCAAGCAATCCAAAGCACAACAAGGATTACAAGTTGGATTTTATCATCAGTTCTTACTTTTCTGGGTATTGTACATAGCTCTTAATAGTATGGCTTTTCCGATTGCTCTTCAAGTTCTAGGATTAATTCATACCAACTTTGTACTCTTTTTCTAACCCTCAAATTGTTCTTTCCCATTTTGCAGTGGCTATAAGTATTTCAACTGTTATCGTGTTGGGGATGAATTTTTCCAAAGCAGTGTCCTGGGTCTCATTCCCTACATCCTCTACATTGCTCATAATTCGATCATTGCTAAATTTCTAACATTTGCAGACAATTCAGCTATCATATAATCCTAGCCTTTTCCAGTTTTTTTGAGATACCATTCTTGGATTGAGCTATAGCACAATTGTTGTCAGATAAAAGTTAATAAATCAAAATATACACTACTACACATCACTGAAATTCCTGTCCACCAGCCTTATTTAATAGCATTCCATTATCCAGATTTGAGTCAGTGTGATACTTTGGCTTCATACTAGATAAAATTCTAATTAGCAACCCAAACAATAGACTTAAAAGACTGCTATATTAATCTTTCAAAAACATTCTCTTCATTAATGGAAGGTTTAGCCAGCTACATTGTGTACTAGGTAGGAATTCAGATTTCTCAATCATTAAAAAGTTTTTAATTTATAATACCGTATTCAAAATTATCTGGACCAAGTTGAATTGTTGGAGACAGTAAAACATTCAAATCCTAAATGTACCCAATGCTTTCAATATAAAATGCTGGAAAACATAGTTAATACCCTAATAACATCCTACCTTTTACATACCAAATTTCATTTAACATTTTCAATCATCCAAATATTCTAATTCAATTCTTATCTTGCACCTCTCATCCCCACAATCTACCCAAAAATTGATTCGGTATTGACCACAAAATTGATTGTAAAATAAATTTGAAAATAAGAGTTCTGGCAATCCTCCACTCAGTTGCTGGGTATGGATGTACACAATCATCTTTCACCCAAGATGGTGACAAATTACAGTATTTGTTAATAAGTAAGTTAAATAAAAAAATAAAGAGGAAGCTAGGACTCTATTTTGGACTATAGTGATACTATACTAATAGTAATAATTTAAAGAACAATACTATATATTTTGTAATTTTCAATATTTCTGTTCATAGTACGACCGAGAATCGATAGAGAAGGAATGCTTAGTGTGACCATAAAGGCTGGTAGAACATATAAATGGACAGTAGATGTCAGTGGAGAACCACCACCAACTCTAACATGGAGCTGGAGGGATAATATTCCTTTAGTAACTACTGAAAGAATAAAAATTGAAAATGTTGATTATCAAACAGTATTTACAATAATAAATGCAGTAAGAAAAGATACTGGAAAATACACCCTTTTAGCAGTTAATGAATCTGGAAAAGATGAAGCGAGTTTAGAACTTACTGTCCTAGGTAAGAGTGATTTCCTTTAAACTAATTATTTTTTTCTTTTGCCATATTTTTCATAATTATTATAAATTAATAACAAGGACTAAAAAATTTGATGGTTTTATTAATACTATTGTTGCAAGGACCTGTCAAGCTAAAAATAAATGGGAACAGTCCTATCTCTCAAAATGTGGGTCTACAGAATCCCAAACAAAAGTTAAAAAATATCTATCCACGGGTTTCTTTTTTGTGTATGTGTGAAATTTTTCTCATATTTGGCACAGTCATAGGTTGCCCAAGAAAGAATCTCAGAATCCAATAATCATTTCAAAATGATGACTGATCAAAGGTTTCATACATTAATGTCTATGACTTTTATCTGAGATCCTGAGACTACTTGGTTGATTTTTTTTTTTTTAGATTTGGCACTAAAGTCACAGGTCAATTTTCATGTTACTATCCACCATTTTGTTTCAAGATGACAACTGATTAGAAGTTTCGTATACCTTTTGTCAATACTCTGTGACTAGTGGCCAAAGATTTGATGAAAAACTGTAAAGTCACAGGTCACTCCAGAAAGAACTTCTGAACTGGACAGTTTGGGTCATCAGCGTAGGCATGAAGTAGCCATGTCTTATCAATGATAGTGCCTTTTTTTAGCTTCATCTTTCACATCGGCATTCAGAGCTATATTGAATAGCATTGCCGATGAGGCATCTCCTTGACACACTCTGATTGCACCTTTAACAATTGACAAACTTTATTTCCAATAACAATTTCGGATGATGTATTTTCCATGGTCATGCATATTAAATTAATTAATTTATACGGTACTCCATTTTTATACTTTATTTCTAGGGTGTCTCTGATCTGACCGGTCGTTAGAAGATGGTTCCCGTCAAATAGTCCACACCTCTTGAGCTGGAGGATCATCCGCGAGCGCTTCCCCTACTCTTGCTGCCTTATTTACGGCCCTCTCAAAGGTTGATGGAAAGTCAAACTGGGGATGCCGCCTAATACCTGGTCATAGACCCTTTAAAAATGCAGCCGTAATGATAATTTTGTAATGACCCCTAGCCCAGCTGTCTTCTTCTACTGATAACAATTTTGGAGTTGATAGCTTTCCTAACCTTTGGCACCTATTGGCGTACTCACGCACTCCTTCTCCGGGCATTTGTTCTACAGAATTCCACTGGAATAGTCACTTTTCGGGTATATAAAATCCCTCAAAACCATCTGATCAATTCGAGCGGTGAATTCTAATAATTCTGGATAAGATTCAACACACCCCTTCGTGAGTCCAGTTAATTTTGATCGACAAATTAGCATCTTCTCCTGTTCAGTCCAACCCCCGTAGAAGCTACCAGATCAACATGCCTTAAAAATGTATTTACGTCATCATCATCACTTAACCCACCCCAAGGTTGTATCAAGTTTTGCAAGCCTGACTACTCCTTTTTTAATATGTTTTCCTTAGTTGATGAACTTTGAAAACTAATTGAAGCTTGTTGTAGAGCTTCCATCTCTATTTTTACCTGATTTAATTCAGCTTTTAACTATATCAATTTGGCCTCCATGGTAACCCTTAAACTTAATTTCACCGGAAACCTGATATAAACCTAACTTTCTTATTTATTTTATATAAATCTTCTTTATTGAAGAAATTGTTTTCTAGATATTGTGAACTATATTTTAATAAAACTTTTGTCACTCACTGTCCTTTCCAATAAAACTTGGGTTGCAACAAGGACTCCACTCCATTATTCTGTTAATAAACAAAATTTTTTGCCCTATCTGGGAAAGACGTCTCTAATTCTTCACGTGAATTGAAAGATATGAACATTTAGTAGGTCAACTCATAACATAACAATTAATAGCTATTCTTAAGACCTATTTTAAAAGCACGGGTGTACTATTATTATTATTATGGGTGATAACTTTTAAATATTTATTTTTTGAAAAATCTGAATTCTTTCAAAGAATAATTAAAAAATTCAATCAAATGGGAATTAATGAAGCAAAGGTTCTTGCAGCAGCCAGTTTGTAAAGGGCTCATTAAAAATTTTCATTAGAATACATTTTAAATTATATTACCAAGAATATTTAGTACTGTTATTATTTTAAGTCACTTAGTTAATTTAATTATTTTTAAAGAGAGAATTCCATTTTTTATTGCCCACATAAAATATATTATTTGAACTATTTTTTATCAATAATGAATTTATTTTATTTATTAATTTGTTTAAATATTTTCCAAGTTACAGAAAATAAAATAAATAAAAGCTTTGTAATCGTTTATTTAAATTATTTTTCCTGAAAAATCTGATACTTTGAGAAGATAGTTCGCTTCACATAATTTTTTAGAAAACTGGTAACGATTTTCAAACTTATTAAACTATAATTAAAAGACCTTACTTTAATTAACATAGACTAAATAAAGCTTGATTTAAAAAACTGTTTTTTTATATTTTTATTTTAAATTTAAGCATAAAAGCATTTAAATACCCTCATTCAAATTATGGACTATTAAGTATCTATATTGATAGAGGGAAATATGATATAAAATAAATTCATTTAAACTTATTTAGGAGGAGGGGGATGAATGGATCAAATTTTCATTAATCATACATATAGTGTTATTATCATTAAAAACAAAGAGACATATTTAAGGTGTCGTTGGTAGTATGTATGTATGCAGGGGGCGGGGTGGCCGAATAGGCTAAAGCGTGTGTAACAGCACCGCTAGTTGCCTGGCAACCGGATAACAGAGATTTGAGATGATATAAAAAGTACGAGTTCGCGTCCCGGTGCCGGAGGGGATTTTAAATTCCCCGCCCTCACCCCCCGGCCCGGGAAAATCCCGTATAGCCTAAAAGGCGAGGTAGGGAAGAACAAAAAAAAAAAAAAGTATGTATGTATGAATACACAAAGTAAAAAAAAAATTGATGATATGATTTTTGAACTTTATTGTTTGTTTTTTTAATTTTTCATCATGTCTGGTCTCGTTTATGTAAACTAGAATTATATAATACCAATTTTGAAAAAATAACATCATATAGCTATTAATGTCTCATTAGAAGCATGATCAATTTATATTACTTTCATCATTATTTTACTTATCACATTATATTCTTATTTTCAGGTAAACCCAGCAAACCAGAAGGTCCATTAGAAGTATCCAATGTAACCAAAACAGGCTGCAAGGTTCAATGGAAGAAACCTAATGATGATGGTGGCAGTCCTATTAGGGAATATGAAGTAGAAAAACTGGATCTTGCAACTGGGAAATGGACAAGAGTCGGAAAAGTTCCTGGTGACAAAGAAGAACTTAACATTACTGGACTGGAACCTGGCGCTGAATATAAGTTTCGAGTTACGGCTGTTAATGATGAAGGAGACTCAGAGCCTTTAATTACAGATAAATCTATCATAGCTAAAAATCCATTTGGTAAATACAAACAATATACTTATTTATTGCTCAAAGTATTCTACTTAATAGTAAAAATGTGTAGTTAAAATACTTTTTTTTCTATTAATTCAATGCCAACTTTTGGTGTCATACTTACCTATAAATACTGAATATCCTGTATAGTTCCTTTTTGCTCTAACTGCCACTTGCCAAAGTTTTTCATGAAATGAAATGAAAAAATGATTTTATTCTGGAACTACAGTCAACAATAATAACAGAGTTCCGTAATTATGAACATTAGTCTGGCTTAGAGAATATAAAGAGATGCTTAATTAACTTTTAATTGCAATTGTATAGTTAATTAAATCATACATTATATAGAAGCAAGTAAATTTTACATGTTTGTGGTAGTTTGAATGTAAAGTGGTATGAATATATGGTGGAATAGGAATGTTTTGAGAGAATCTGTGGAAGAGGATTGACTTGTAGGGGTAGGTAAAGAGTTCTAAAAGGAGGTAGCATGAATGATGAAGGATTTGATGAAGAAAATAGTTTTATGGAAGGCAATATATAGACCAGTGGGTTGTGATCTGGTATTAAGAGAGTGGATAGAAGAACTTAGAGTAGGGAGTTCTAGGATGTAGGGAGAATTTTTGGTTCTGAGAACTTAGAAAAGGAAAACAACAAGAATGTATTGCTGTCAGGAAATAGGATAAAGCCACTTCAACTTGGTGTACCAGCAGGAAACATGAGAACATTTAGGAATCCCAAAAATGTATCTTAAGAAGCAATTCGTGAGGCTCTTGAGTCTCATCTCCAATCTGGCAGAAAGTAGTCCGTATACCAAGCAACTGTAGTGGAAGTGGTGGAAAACAAGAGAGGTTACAAGGAGCTGTCTAGTTTTAGGAGTTGTTGAAGGACACTTATGGATTTTCGGGTATATGCTGCATCCTTACTTCATTGTTACCAAAGAGAATATAGTAGTGAGGCAAGAACATCAATTTTATTATGAAATGGGTTGCCAGGTAGTTGTGACCTATTTTCAGGAAAGAGCAACAATAATGGTCCTGAGGACATTTTTATGGCATTTCCTTTAGTTTGGGGACTGCTAGAGCTTATGTATGGGGCTTGACATTATTGTGGAGGAGGATGCCCTCTCAAATCTGTTGGGCTTGCCTTTTGTGGTGATATGCATCCCTCACCTCATTTACAACTAACAGTAGTAAGCAACATTAATTTTACATCCCTCATGCAAAAAATAATGACCAAAATGCCTTGTCCATTGAAAAAACAATCTGGTGCATGCGATAACACAACTTTCACTCAGCACCCTCTTCTTAGCAGAAATAAGTATTATCAGACAAAGGGGAAGCAAAAGTAAAAATTATTGATGCTATATTTATTTACATTTCATTATAGGGTATTTTTATTTTTTTACCCTTACTATATATTCATATATAGGTATAGGAAATTGAAAGTAAAAAGTTGAAAGAATCTTGCTTGCTAATTTTCCACATATTTTTTGTCCTTCCTTAAACTCTTTATGCCAGACAAACACATGTGTTTTTGACAACATTTGATCACAAAATTGTGCAGTCAGTCTTTACTTATTTACTTCGTGTGGCTCTACTACACCTTACTGGTATAATGCCGCTACTATCCTGTTGCAGACTCCAAGGCTCCTTGCATCACCTACCACACAGTCAATCCAGCAAAACATTAATCTGCTAAAACTTCTTCATATGTAAATGACTTCCAAAAGCAGTTTCCTCAGTATCTGCTCATTAATCATCCTTGCCACATGACCTGCTCACCTCAATGGTATAATTCACAATGGAGATATTGGCTCACCATACTGATCTTGAATCTCCTGGTTAGTCCTCCTCCAATTTCTGTTAATAATGATGGGTCCAAATATTCGCCAAAGAATCTTTCTCTCGAACAAGATGTTTTGATACATAGTCTTGTTCATTTTATAGGTCACTGCATCATATGTGAGGATTGGTTGAATTAAAGTTTTGTACAAAATAATCTTTGTCTTTTGAAATGAACCTATTTTCCAAGTGGTGTCTCAACCCAAAGTAGCTGCGTTTTTTGGATATTACTCTACTTCTGCTCTTAATCTCCATTTTCTTATCACATTTAATTTGGGATCCCAGATTTGTGAATTCATTGACTTGTTCAAAGAATTAGTTTCTCCCCGGTCACAGGGGTCCACTTGAAAACCACAGAGTCATTACTCATTACTATTTTAGTTTCCTTGAATTTCACCTATTAATTTGACTCAGTGTAGATTACAAGTAAATTTCTAGAATATAAAATTTCAAAGTATTGATGTTGGAGTACAAATACTGCCATGGCTTAAATCATGGGCAAACACAGCAAGCTAAGCTTCTAAATGATTTATTAGGATCGGTGGAGCGTCATCAAGGTATTACCCAGGGCTCTGTTTCTGGGTCATAGTTATTTCTTGGATACATCTCTGACAGTACCATAGTCCTCAAACCCTGCAAAATCCATATGTTTGCATATGATATCTTTTGTGTTACCAGAGGATCTAGTTTTGACCTCACAGCAAGTGACTAATGATATCAAAGGTCTTCACCTCTGGTCTCTCTCCAATAAGCTTAAGCTTAACTGCAAGAAATCCCATCAGATGCTGATAAGGAGCTCTAAGGTTTTTGAAAAAGCCTAAAAAGATACGACCTTAGATTAGATCATTCCCCAGTCTGAGAAGACAAGTCCTTAGAGTAATAATCAGTAGGCCAGTAGCTCCTTGTCATAGTGGTCTCATGGTAGGCTTTGTTCACAATGTCCACCACTCTCTTTCAAGCTGTTTTTGTTTACTGAGATTAGAAAGTAGATAGACTTTGCCCTAATATTTCCTCTTATGTAGTATTGCCATACCACTCTCCATTCTCAACATTACAGTCAGCTGATATACTCAATACTCATTATGTCTCCTGTTCATCTTATCCCTCTGTCCAAGCAGCAGCTCCACCCCTCATACATCCCCCCTTTAATCCCAATCATTTTTTCTTTTCGCATATTACCCCTGACAACCTCCTTAAATCCATTTGTAAATACCAAACCAAAAATTTTGGACCACATGATATCCCAGTTAAATCAATTAAATCCTCACTTTCGTCCATTTTCCCAATCCTTTATCATATCTATAATTTTTCACTACAAAGTTCCACTTTTCTCAGCAGCTGTAAAACCACCCTTGTTCGTCCACTGAACAAAATCTCTAATCCCACAACCCCTAATGATTTCTGTCCAATTTTCCTGTTATCTAACCTTTCCAAACCTTTAGAACGAATAGTTCAATCCCAACTATCCCAATATCTCGAACAAAATAACCATTTCAACTGCTTCCAGTCTGGTTTTAGACCTGACTACTCCACTTATTCCAGCGTCATTAAAATCTCCCAAGATCTCACAGCCATAGACCAACAGAAACTCACCATCCTGTTCCTTCTTGATTTCTCTAAAGCATTAGACTCAGTTGACCATAATATCCTCCTATCCAAACTTATAAATGTTTCCTTATCATCTATAGCATTATATTTATAAACATTATAAAAAATCTCTTATAACTGAAAATTCTACAAATATTATTTCAACTGATAGAAAATTTAGTGCTATTTTCAGTAATATGTGGTTACACCAGAATATTTGGAGAGAGATTTAAGCAATTTTTACTGTATTTGTATTTGGTAAATTAAAATTTATTGTATTGGTTTTAAAATGTAATAAAACTATTTAAACTCAAAAGCCCACTAATATTATTTTTGCATTTGGTAGAGAATTTTATACTATTCTCGTTAATATATGGTTCTATTGGGATATTTTAGAGATTTTAGCTAAAGGTAGTTTTAGATATTTTTATCACTGTTTACAAAATTTATGTTTAAAAATTTTTTCATACATAAAGAAAAATTATGTTAAAACTTATGGTATCAGGAGATTCTGTATTAAATTTATGGTAAATAAATATATTTTGAAAGCTCTTGGTCAATAAATATTGGTTTTACAAATGAAAACCAAACAGGTATATGCTGGTTTTGAGCCCAAAATGTCTTCCCAATTTCAAATATTTAAAAAGTTTAAAAGCCCATAATTCTGAAACTAATCTTTGGAATTAGCTAAAATTTGGTATTTTTACCTACATGTATGTTTACTTAATATTTAATAATTTTCATTAAGATCTGAGGGAGGGGGGTAACAAATTGAATTTTTTCTGGATGATTTGGTATGACCATGATATAAGTGAAAATCGGAAAAAGTGGCCTTTTAGGCACCCCTCCACATCGGGCTTACCACCTAGGAGGGGGAACTTATAGTATGTTTATCTCCTTACTTGTCCAAAAAATTTCCTTTTGTCAAAAATTGTGTCCCTGCCATTTACTTCTTTAATAATTCATTGACTGGACTACTCGGCTATCCCGCTTTGCTTGCCCTTTCTTTCTCCCCTCCTAAATAATCCTCCCATCCATTTCTTTCTGACAGTCAAAAACCTTGGAGGGATCTTTGATCAGAACCTCTCTTGGAACAATCATATTTCCCAGATTACCCGTAAATCCATAACTATCCTTAAACAATTCCTTCGATTCTGTGATTCCATTCCAAAAAAAACCAGACAGCTCCTTGTTACATCATTTGTCTTCCCCCACTTTGACTACGGTTGCCTGGTGTATGGAAGCCTGTCCACTGAACTGGAGGCGAAACTGAAGAAAATTATGAATTGCTTCATAAGATTCATATTTGGGATTCCCAAGCGTTCTCATATTTCTTGTTGGTACACTGAGTTGAAGTGGCTATATCCTACTTCCCGACGGCAATTCCTACTTGGTGTTTTCCTTTTTCAAGTTCTCAGAAGCAAAAACCCTCCCTTCATCTTAGAACTCCTTACTTTACGCTCATCTATCCATTCTCTCAATACCAGATCTCAACCTATAGATTTATATATTCCCTCCCATAAAACCACTTCCTTCAGTAAATCCTCCGTCATCCGTGCTACCTCCTTATGGAACTCCTTACCCATCTCCATACGTCAAACCACATTCATAAACTCCTTCAAACAACTCCTATTCCACCACCTACTACAAAGTCAAACTTCTTCAAGTTTGTAAAAATTTCTGGGTTATATAATTACATTGGCCACCAGCAGTTAATTGATAGAAGCCATTTTATTTCTATTTATTAATTTTTTTTATATCTCAGTATTTTATTGTATATAGCTGTGTTTATCGTTATTATGTTATGTAGATATTTTCCTTGGTACTTTTATTTTTTTTTTTTATATATATTTGTATTATTTTTAGTATCTTTGTGTGTGTATATATATGTGCTTACAATTTCCTAGATATTTTTTGTATATATTTATAAAATACTTACATGTCAGACTAAGGTACATAATTTGTAAACTCTACTATTATTCTAAGGGGACTTCAGTCAGAATAAAATTATTTTTCATTTATATTAGCCAATAAGCTATCTATCTATCTAATCTCAAACATCCAAGAAGAGGGCCTGGTTTTACGCCATCAATATGTCCTAGAGAGAGAGGGAGAAAACAGAATGGGAGATAGTAAATTAGATAAAATATTTTGAGAAATAAGCATAAAAAATTAACTGTCTTTATTAAGTACTAATAATTTTGGTTGCATTTATTGCATCATTTACACTGTAGGATATCAACACATTAAAAGGATGTGCCAATTTGAAAGATAGTTGGAGTATAAGTTGGATTCTTTATGTTTATTTTACCAAATGATAACATTTAATTTTTTGTTTTCATTTAGCATCAATATTAAAGCAACATAAATATAATCGTACTTTATTCATTAATATTTTATTTAAATTCATTTTGTATTTTAGATGAACCTAGTAAACCAGGCAAACCAGAAATAACTGATTATGACAATGAAAGTGTAACACTTAAATGGACAGCACCTAAAAGTGATGGTGGAGCTCCAATAGAGAAGTATATAGTAGAGAAGAAAGACAGGTAAATACTTGTTAGGTACCGTCATTTTTCAAATCATGTGAGAATTTGTGTTTATTTGTCAATTATGTTTTTCCCACCATTTAAATAGTTTTTGTGATGATTTTTATTTAATTTTAAAATCTGCTAAATTATAGTCGATTAATATCAGTAGGTTGTAAGTGAATTTTAAATTAAAATAATAACAGTGCAATCTCAGTACTCCGAACTTTGGTACTTCAACAATCCTGTAATTTAATAAAATTGAGTATGTAGTAGAGAACCAGAGACCAGTTTTTAACCACACATGCTCACATTGAATTTCCAGAACTTTTCTTAGCTCATAGGTACAGATGCTTACACATAGACAAACACACACTTTCTTCCCATTTTAATTTTCCAAGAATCTCTCTTCTTTTTTTTTTAAATAAAAATATTGGCAAGTGAGAACAACGTGTCATGACAATAAATTCTTCTCTTTCAACATTTTAAGGTAAGTGAAGGTTGAAGTAGTGAAGTTACAAAAAGAAAGTTGCTCCAGAAGTCAAAATAACAGTTTGTTTTGGTCTTAGAATTTTATGGATCGGTTGCTAATAAACAAGATGTTTTGCACCTAAAATATCAAAACAACCAACTAACAAAAATAAGCATTATTTTGAAAAAAAAAATATTTCAATACCTGCAAACTCTGTGTTTTAAATGAATTTTACTAAAAATGTATGCATCAATTTTTAATCTTAAATGGTATGAAGTTTCACTGAATATCCTCTGTAATCTGAATAATCCCAGTAGCAATTAGTTCAGATTACTTAAACTGTAATTTATTGAAGAATTCATTACCTATGGGTGACTGGCAAATAATAAGTGATAATCTATTTTGGAACTGTGAGCAGTCCCAAAGATGCTAACCATATGTTACAATATAGTTTGATTTAGTTAGATGTTTAATTTATTTTTTCTTTCATTTTAAAGGGAATTTGTATTTGAAATTCCTTGATGTGAGTGTTCATGTCCTGTTGAGTTAATTTCTCAGCTCTGACCTCATTACCTCTTAGCAATAGGAATAAATATAAGTTATCAAACATTCAATTTAGAAGGAAGCCTGTATACCCTTAATAACATAAGACTACTATTAGATAAACAAACAAATCTTAATCCATGAATTATGACTGTATTTATCCATTTGGTGTTGAGCTTTCTGTAGTATAATTAACATTAAGCTTGGATAGATATTCAAAATTTGTACAAAATATGCTAGCCATGGTCAGCCCTTATTTTTATCTTAGCAAAGTAACAATCTAGGACACTAACAAAAACTGGGTCACTTAATCCCTAATAAAATATATATTTAAACATAAAAAATAACATGGACCAAATATTCCTTATTGGAAAAATAATTGAGGAGAAAAATAGAATTCCAAATGGTGAGACACTTTTTTTTTTTCCGAATAACTCCCTACCTATCCATTTCTTGATAAAGAGTGGGAATGATCTAGGTGTTCAACCAGAGTGGGGAGGTCAAGATTCATTCCCTGGGTCTGCCAAAAAATAAATATCAACCCATCCAGTCCATATTTGAACTGGTGGCGCTTGACAAAATAAATGGCAATAAAAATTAACTGGTGAACATTAAGACTAAATGAAAATCAGGTTATCCTCAGTTTAATGGGAACCCAATGCAGTTTTCTAACAATGAAAAATAAATACAAGATGAGTCGGGAGTAACGGTCCAAAAAACATGAGTGGATTGCACACAGGAAAATAATTTTAAAAAACTCATATGTTCTTAACAGATGTTTAAATTCTGTTTAGTTGGCTAATTGATGTGATAACCCAGTGGGCACACATAGTTGGCCCAACGTTGAGAAATGGTTTTCACTTTCGGTTAACCAACGGTTAGAATTGGCCGCAGATATAACCATTGGCTAACAACCATTCCCCAAAGATGGCCCACATACTTTTTTAATAACAATGGGCCAACATAAATTTTTCATTCCACCCAACCATTTGCCAACCAAAATTATTTACTCATTACTGTTATTATATTATATGCACAATAAATAATATATTATTTACAGTACACATGTCTCTTCAATCATATAGGGAATCAAATCAGCAACAGATATTACACCTCACATCACTATATTTATTGATTCATAATAAAGAAAGAAATACATATATTTACTTAACAAATTTAAAATTACAAAATTCTTATAGGGCTGTTTTATAAGCATCTATGATTAAAAAAAGAACAACATTTTTTTAATGCTAAATCCTTAATTAAATAATTAAAACAATGATTAGAAATTATTATTAAAAAATTGATATATAAAATATGCACTACATAACCTTAATTGATAATAAAAATTAACTGAAAAACCTCCACAATTAATATAGTTAAAACTAGAAACAATTTTTATCGTTAAACAGTGCAAAAAATTGTAGCAAAACTTCTCTTCTCCTCTCTTCTCTTCCACCTTCTCTTTCTCTTATGAACCAGAACTAATTTGAAACAGCAGATTGTATTTCTATATCTGAAGCATTGGATGGATGAAAAACAGCCAGGTTATGCAATCAATAATCCTGTTTATTAAGTTTGCCTCAAGAAAAGCGAACTTAATAAACACGATTATTGACTGCATATCCTGACTATTTTTCATTCTTACAATTTGAATCGTTGGGTGTTTAACATTTTCATGGACTCCCCTTGTAAAGACAAACAAAACAAGAGAAGTAAATCTGAAAAGAAATCTTTTAGATATAAAAATGTCAAATACGTAATATTAACTGTAATAAAAAAATATAAAGTAGTATATTTGTGTTTAAGGTGAATTACTTGATTTTTTCAATGGAATATAACATCAATTTTTGCTGATCTCAAGAATTCCTAATAAAAAATATAACTTTGGCACAATTAGAAGGGTCGAATTTCATAGGCGAATGAAACAAGGAAAATAGCTATTTCTCTCCATATTTTTATTTCATCATGATGTATGCAAGAAAAACCATACAAACACCACATTTAAACTAACCAATTACCTCAGCAAGACATGAGTGGGTCAACACTGGATGTCTTTAGATAGAGCTAGGATAAAAGTCATGGATAGGAATAGTGTTCTAGTATACTATTCACTGTAATAATATGATTGATTCAAGGTGAGCCATATAGATAACCAATGAACATAAACCGTTGGCATAAGTCGGAAAGAATTAATGAACAGACTAATTTATGCGTCATAAATAAATATAAGAAATTATCTGTCAGACTTGAGGAAATTAATAAATAAAATACAAAAATGATAATAGTAATGATTGCAAATGGAATAGAATATCTGTTATATATTTCTAGATTATCATCATTACTGTCATCCTCACTAGTAGTACCACCAAACAGGTGCTAATATCAAATTAACAAGAGTCATAACATTATCAAAAAAGAATATATTATCGAATAGCTATTTACCTTGTATTAAATCAATGTGAGATGTATTTAAAAATCAAAATTTACTTAACAGGGTAAATAGTAGTAGTACAGTCAAATAAAAAATAAAATATTACATCAATTAATTTTGTACACCTACTAACTAAGTGCAAATTCCGTCATGAATTTTCTAAGTCCAATCTTATGAAATAACATATTCATTTGAGAAGAGTTTTCTAAGTAGGTACCTTCCGTGGTAGTCCTGTTGATGTAACTTCCCCCAACAAGTTCAAGATTACTTTCCTAGAATAAAACAAAAATAATCACATCTCTAAAAAAGATATACCACACAAAATTTGAAATGATTTTTATAAGTATTCATAGTTTTATTAACTGGAAATTCACAGACAGAAACTTACTATAAAAAATAAATAACAAAATTTATAATTAGATCAGACAATGAATGAAAAAGTAGTGTTACTTTCATAGTAAATAATTAATGGACATTTAAATTTTACGGTTTTAAAGAAATGGTTATACATGAGACTGACTATTTTAAAAAGATAAAGTAAGCTGGCATTCCATGTCAAGAAATATCTATCATTATCTTATATCTTTCATAGTAGAACTTCCTCAAAGTATTGAATGTTTCAAAGCTCAGTTTTTGTCTTATATTGCTTATGCATTCAATAGCTCAGATATAAAAATTAAACATAACAGATACGTACATGAAAAAAAAAAAAACAAGTTTTCTGTTTGAACAGTTTCTAAATTCAACTGTCAAAATAATGGCAACAGATTTTTACCAACCAAAAATATACTGACAGTGCATTGTAATACTACCATTCCTCAACATTGGGCCAACGTTTTATCCAACCATAAAACAACAAAAATGGTTTATTAAATTACATTCTCATGGCCACTAGTGGATTCAGAATTTATTTTACACTATTGCTTAATATACATTATATTAACTTGTTTTTTTTATAACATTAATTACCTTGGAAGAGAACGGAAAAAACTACATGAAATGACATTTAAGTTTATAATATGTGAGAAAGAATTGTTAACTGTTCTGTCTCCTATCAATTCATTTATAAAAACTTTTGGTGGTCATTGTGTATACTTTGATTCATGTTTTGTTGAATTTATTTTGTACCTAAAATTAAACTTGTTTTACTTCATGACCTGTTAACTTAAAAAAAAAAATGTCAAAATATATTAATTCAGCTGATTTAATTTTGAATTAGATAGATTCTGGAAAAAAATTATCATAAGTGACAAAAAGGGGATATTTTTAAAAAACTCTAGCAAACATAACCAGTAGGTACGGCCAGGTGAAAATGTCCAACCGGAGGTTTGCCAAGATCAGTTAGGGAAAAAAGTGACACTTTGTATTTTGTGGAACCTCGAAGGTATTTTGTATTTTGAGCTGGAAAGTAGTTGAAAACAATGGACTTCACTTTGAAGAGTTGTATTTAATCATAATGTTTAAAATATGTAATATGAAGTAAAGCCATACTTATGCAAAAGAACTTTTGTAACGATCTAGTACTATTTGGTTCGGTGAAAACAACCTAGCAATAAGTAGGTATCTATCAATTATCAAGTTTCCCTTCCAGGGTAAGATAAGATAAATCCTTCTTGGTGAGATGTTTCTAATAAATGTTTTTATTTATTTTTTTCTGCATATATATGATCTTGTTTTTCCTCTCCTGATGATGCCTGTCAATTCATCAAGAGTTTGTATCTGCAACTCTACACCAGTAGATACCAGCACTAATGTCAATTTGCCCATTTGACACATTCTACTTCCCTGGTTTAGAAAATAGTTACTTTTTCAATTTCTTTTTTTTTTTTCAAATTGAAGGATGTAATATATTATTATTTAAGTAATGCTGCATATTTTTCCATCTCACAAAATAGTTTACATTTATCAGCTATTGTTGATTATATTTTTGAATATTCTAATCAAACACTTTGATTATTTTTCTGAAATGATTTGGTGTCTTTACACAGGTTTAAACCAGATTGGGAATTTGCTGCTGAATTTCCTGGTGATGTCATTACAGGGAAAGTTGGTGATCTTAAAGAACAAGCTGAGTTTCAGTTTAGAGTTGTTGCTGTAAATAAAGCAGGACCATCAGAACCCTCAGATAACACAGATTTACATAAAGTTAAACATAAAGCATGTATGTTTTAATTTTAACTTTTATATATTTAGCACTTGCTTAAACAATTAATTCTTTAAGGACCAACAAAGTTTTTTAATTAATTTGATTGAGTAATAAATTAACTCAAAGTCAGTAATTTAAAAAATAGAGTGCATTTTTTTATCATTTTTGAATATAAATTTTTGTTAGTTTTGGGGCCTCAGACCAAAAAAATAAAATCTTAGACTTTGATGTCTGCACACAAAAGTACTAATAAATGCTTCTAAAGCCTATCAATTAAAAAGAATGGTGATGGGGAGGGAAGGTATAATTGCCTTCCTCTGAATCCACCATGGGCATGTAAGGTTATTGTTTCCTGTGCAGCCAATAGAGATCTATTGTCCATAAATTTTGGATTAATTTCATTTCTCGATTAAGGGCACATGACAGTGGAATAGGAAACAGTTTATGAAGGGATATTTCATTTATCTTTTTTATAGTTTGAAGTTGTACATAAAATTTCAGTTGCTAAAGCTTTAACGATGGATACTTATGTTACTAAAAATATGAATGAGCTTTGGGTGTTTTGAATAAAAATGAATCTACACAAATTGAAATAATATCTTGGCATTTTGACTTCCCAACAAAATAAACCATCGATTTAAAGAAAGATTTAATAACTATTATTAGATTTTAACTATTATGTTTAATTAATTATGTTTATTCCAGTGAAACCTCGAATTGATAGGACAAATTTGAAAAATATTGTACTAAGAGCTGGTAAAATGGTAAAATATGATGTTAATATTCGTGGAGAACCACCACCTGATGTAAAATGGATATTTTCCAACAAACAGGTATATTCCAGAAGACAGAAAATTAATTTAATATCTTTTTAAATCAAATTAAAATGAAATATTGATTTATACAGGTACTAAATACACACAACACAGAAGTGGTGAACATCCCATATAATTCAAAACTTACTCTTACGGATGTTGTAAGAAAACAAACAGGAATATACAGAATTATTGCTGAAAATCAGCATGGAAAGGATGAAGCAGAAGTTGAAGTAACAGTATTAGGTAATTATTTATTTATTTTTGTTAATAGTACTGCTGATTAATGCTAAAAAAATAATAACAAAGACTTTTTTAAAAACTAAGCTTTAAATGAGAAATGTAGGGAGACTTCTTAACAATGTTAAACGTATTAATCCTTAAGACAATTATATATTAAATATATTTATAATAAAGATATATAGTGGTGTGAAAAAGTTTTTCAACTAACCAAATTTTTATAAAAATGATAAATGTTTCAATTTAAAAGTGTTTTTGTCTTCGCAATAGTAAAATGATTTAACCTAGAAGACATTGTAGAAATAGTATATATTTAAATTAGCATTATTTTCAATTAACAACCTGCCAGGGGACCAATCGATTGTGTTGACATCATTTTCAGACGCTGAATATTGCTATCTTATTGTATAAATTTCACTACTTTTTTATCCACTTTAGTCTTTATTATTTATTGCTAACATCAAGAGCCTTTGTATAAACTCTAAGTGACTAAATTTAGCTTTAAAAATTGATCTAATATTGGAATTATCCGATTTTTTCAGAGATTTACTTTGACATTACATATTTCATAATATACTTTTTATTTTCTAGTCAATATTGCTTTTTTTCAGTAAATGGCAAAATATCATATTTTTGACTCATAAAATTATAATTTTCATCAACAAGAATTTTCAATCAGGGGAAATCAAAAAGAAGTTCAAGTTTCTATTTTTGGAATTCATTGTCAACAATTTTTTTTTAAAATAAAAAACAAGTAAAATGAAGATTTGAAACGTTCAGGCAGACCTAAAAAACATAATCCTGCAGCTGAACAACAATTAAAATTATTTGTGTTGGTATAACCACTAAAAATGTAGCAGACAACTGGCTTAGGGAATAGTCGATGCTATGAGTACTCAAGGAACTCCTATCATTAGACCTTTAAGGTTGTGTTCCCAGAAGAAAACTATTTCTTTAGTCTCTTGAACAGCAAAGTCACTTAAGTTTGCCAAAGAACATGAATTGGATGGAAGAAGAATGGAACAAATGTTTAAACAGAGATGAGTCAAAATTTGAAATGTTTGGTTCCAGAAGGAGGCAGTATGTTATTGAAGATCTGGAGTGGAATTTTTGAATGAATGTTTACAACCAACAGCAAAACACGGAGGTGGCTTCTTAATGGTTTGGGGGTGTGTTTCTTGATCTGGAGTTGGAGACCTTCAGTGAATAGATGGAAAACTATATGCAAAACAGTACCATACTATTGTTACATACCATGCAATACCATCTGGGATTAAGCTTAAAATGATCAAAATGTGGATATTTTGTCATTTTTTTGAAATAAAACTAACATTAAAAATAAAATAAAAAAGATATTACAAAATATAGAATGTTAAATTAAATTTCTGAAAAATAACGGATAATTCCAATATTAGAACAATTTTTACAGATACATTTAACTCCTTAGAGTTTATAGAAAGATTCTTGATGTTAAAATAAGGAATAAAGACTGAAATGGATAACAAATTAGTGAAATTAAAACAATAAGGTAGCAATATTCAGCCCCCGAAAAAAACGTCAATACAATGGATTGGTCCTCTGGCTTGTTGTTAATCGAAAATAATGCTAATTTAAATATATATTGCATCTAAAATGTCTGATAGGTTAAATCAGTTTACAATTCAGAAGATAAACAATTTTTTAAATTGAAACATTTTCATTTTTATAAAAATTTGGTTTCTTTGAAGACTTTTCCTCATCACTGTATATATATATATATATATATATATATATATATATATATATATATATATATATATATATATATATATATATATATATATATATATATATATATATTTGTATATTTAAAATGATATTTTCACAAACAATAATGAGAAATATATAAGAATAGAAATCTTGAAAAGTACAAAAAAAAAACGAAAATGTCCGGTATGCCTCCTAGGTCAATGGTGCAAGAAGCTACCACCCTTCCCTAGGTTTATACATTAATTATACAATAAATAAAAGATTTTTATTGTTCACCTTTTCTTAAAAACAGAGCAACGGAAAGTAGAACTGGAAAAATTGTAGATAATACACAAATACACTTGCTTTAGTCTGTTCCACTTTTTTCTTCTTCCCTTATTCTTAAACTTTTCAATCCAAAAATTCATAACCCCTCTGAAAAGTGTCCCTCTCAAAAATCCACCCCCTCAAAAATTTTCATGGTGTAACTTGCACCATGTAACCCCTTTTTGGCGCCCCTGACAAAAGTCACTTACAGATTAAAATTTAAAATTATGTAATAATTCATTAAATATATAGCATATAAGATTAAATATAAAATAACACTTAAAATATGTACAAAGATGTTAAAATATCCGGATTGTACTATTCCCCATAACATTGTCTATAATTAGAACAAAATATTCCAATAATATCAATAGTTGGAACAAAATTTCCCTCACAATTTCAACAGATCGAATTTTTTTACTAGTTTTTGGGGTTTTCAAGTTGTAAGGGGCAATGAAGACTTGTCCCTCCCATGGTGAAATTCCTGTAGTTTGGCCCATGTACTTTTTATAAAAATTCTTTTAAATGTATAGTATTCAATTTTTGAGAGGCATATCAGCTCTCACAAAAACAGCATATTCCTATATTAAAACTAGATTTAGGGCTTTCTAAAGACGATGTTGAAATAAAGCACTGATTCACATTTTTTTTTATTTTCCTCATTTTTTTAGTGAATTGGTGGAATATGTTTGGTACACCAAATCCTTTGAATTTTAGTCATTTTTTTTATTTTTTTATAAAATAAAATAAATCACTGTCTCTGCAAATAGTTTCAGTGGAAAACTAGTGAATGCAGTTCGACACTAGGGCTTTAGATGTTGATTTGGCTTCTGGAATTTCACAGATTAAACACAATTAAGTTCACTAGAACACATCTTGATAAACAATTTATTTAACCTGAATAGTAAAAATAAAATTTATGAAGGAAACTACTTTAGAACCTATGTACGTCAAATTTGTTATTTATGTATTAAAGAAATTTTCCTTCTATTTGTTCTCAATTTCGTATTTTCAATATGAATTTCCTGTTTTAACTAAATACATAGATATACTTCAAATATGTAAAATAAATGAAATTTTACTTTAACTTGTATGAAAGATAAAAAAAAAAAAAAAAAAAATCTATTGAGGTAGGGTGTACAAGGTTTAGAAAAAAATCTGATCTCTAGTGATTAGTACAGTTCCTTAAAAAAACATCACTATAGAAATTTATTAATAAAATTCATATTGTATGTTTTAAATAATGCTTTGCATGAGAGAAATGGATAACTGAGTTGGGAAAATAGAGAAAATATTTTCAGTAAAAGCGCATGTATATGTTTTTCTAATATCAAAACCTATAATCCAATGAACTAGGAGAAGTTAGAACTAATGAGTACTTTTCTTTAAAAACAACAATTTTACCCTCACTCTATTTTATTTTTAATTGAATTTTGTAATAATTTTAAAATTGGTTAGCTACTCTATTTTTAAATTTGTAAAATAGAGTAGTTTAAATATTTAATTGTTATTATTAAATACACACCTCAGGACATAGTGACTTTTCGGAAAAATCACATTACTACTTACCTGTTACAGTGGTAGCCCTTCTTCCTTTTTTCCTTCTTAACGCCAACTGAATATTAGTTACATATTTGGAAGGAGGAAGTGCTAAAAATTTCTCGGGCAGAAAAATAAAAAACATTTGATCTCTGGGGCTTGTTTTTGGCAACAAAGGGTTAACAAACATCTTTATTATTAATGTGTGCACTATACTTTAAATCAAAGTAACTTTTCCAACCTAGATGAATTATTAAAAATACATTTTCATAAACAAATTATTTTTATCTTGTAACTATTAATTGTGTAACTTTATGGCATAAAGCTATACTAAAAAAAATATTCTCATACTTCCTCTATACTCCCACTGTTTAGTAAAAATATAAAATGATTTTTATTTATTTTAAATAGCATATTTAATTACATGCAGTATTAGGAATTTCATTGTTATAACTTTTAGTAAAAAGACATTCTGATATTTCTTATTAAAATCTATGAAGTTCTATGGTTAAAAGTATCATTAATGTATGTTTAGATTAAATACTAAATATTCATGAGTAAAAAAAAAATGTTTACAATTTTAGTAGTATTAAGTCATTAAAATAATTAATCAATATAGATTTCACACAAATAATTACATAATGGAAATTTTTATTTTACTTATTGTCGTAAATATTTGCTAGGTAGTAGATTTTAAAATAATAATTTGGCAATTAAACAATTTGTATAAATATTTATAGGTACACCATCTAAACCTCAAGGGCCACTAAAAGTAAGTGATGTAACTGCAAGTGGCTGTAAATTAAAGTGGGAAAAACCAGAAGATGATGGTGGCAAACCTGTTACAGCATATGCAGTTGAAAAACTTGACTTGGCTACAGGAAGATGGGTTCCTGTAGGCAGAACAACTGATACTGAACTGGATGTAAAGGGTCTTCAGGAAGGACATGCTTATCAGTTCCGTGTAAAAGCAATTAATGATGAAGGTGAAAGTGAACCACTGGAGAGTGAAAGTGCAACAGTTGCTAAAAATCCATATGGTAAACTATTTTAAAATCACCTTTGTACAAATAGTCACAAAATCATAAATCATGCAAAATTGTATACAATAGACTTCCTGTATATCTGTCCTATATTGTTTGTCGGGACCAAGACATTACCCGTTAAGTGGGAGAGCCGGTTAATATGGAGGGTATGAAATAAAAATAAAACTCCAATATTGTTTTAACTTCCATATAGTGGGAAAATCCTTAAAAATTTATCTTTCAATGACACAACTTGTTTTATTTTTTCACTCATTTTGTCACACTAGTAAATTGAACAAAAGGTTTAACACAGCTGAAAAGAAAGACGTAATACACAAACAAAACCTTCAACTAAAACTTTTCCAAGAAAATGTGGCATGTATAACATTGATGATATACACAATAACAGTACTGCATCGGTAATTACGTAGTAATCCTTCTTTGTTTCATTTTTCATTTTATATGAAAGAAATGAAGGATAAGGATTTTGTTTCAAGAATCAATTTTATTTTGAATAAATTTGTTTTTTTTGAGGTTCGTTCAATTGTAAAAAAAGGTATTGGTCCATTAACTGGGCGGGATGGACTGCTATTTGCCAATATTTATAACCTGAACACTAATAATTCTGATAAGGCAGTGTTAAGCCTTCTCGTAATTCCTATCTTCGTATTCATATTTATTGTATTATATTCATATTATTGAAATTTTAAACAGAAACAAAAACAAATGTAATAATAAAAAAATACTTTTATTTTATGACATATATATTAAATTAATAAAATGTGATAATTTCCACAACAATCAGAAAACACTTTAATTTTACATATATAAGGCATAAAACATATATAAGGCATGAAATGGACAAAAATAAATCTAATAATAAAAGAAATGAAATAATAAAAAACACTTAAACGACATATGTACATATAAAAGTTGAAAATGAAATAATAAAAAACACTTAAAGAACATATGTACATATAAAAGAAAAAATATAAACACTATAAAGGACATATGTACAATGTATTTTCACTCCATCTAATTTATTTTGGCAGGCAAAATAGTTTGATGCTATTTAAAATAGCGAGGAACGGGTCCTCTTCTTGGTGAACCCGCCTTAATATTCAAGACCTTAAGATTCCAAAACCATTTTCCATTCCTAAAAATGTTTAATATAAATGAAATAATGTTTTCAAGAAAAAAAAATACAAAAGTAAAACCAATGCAATTGAACAGGCAACTAGAGACAAACTGATATGAAGTCCAAATTTTATTTTAATACTTTTATCGTTAATCCTAGAGAGAATCATGAGATTTTCTTGACAGGATTAATGCATTGTAATCCCATTTGACCTGTCATATACCTGTTATTAGTTCAAGCTAAAAAATATTTCTTTGAACTGTGGTTTTAATGTAAAATTCAAGGTGCACCGCTTTTTTTTTTTGGCCACCAGTTTATTTATGTATATAGAATAGAATAGCTATATAATAACAATTCCATAAAAATAAATAAAACTATTCTGGGACAATGTCCCCTAAGAATAATAGCTGTTTATGATAAAATAGTATTTATTTTTTACCAAAAGACCTATAACATTGACTAAACAAAAAGAAAAAAAACACCAGATTATCTAACTTATTTACAACAAATGCAGAATGGTAAGTATATGTTCTCCTAAAAATAAGATATAATAAGTTTGCAAAACCTCTTATTGAAATAAAAGATGAATATTATAATATCTAATAATCTCAAAACTGTTCCTAATATTTCAATCCGGTGGGGGTGCCCATCCTCCCTAAGGGTGATAGCGCATGAAACTCTCCCCTCCTCCGAAGATATTATATTGTTCGCTTCTTCTTAAAAACAGTGAAATCTAACGTATCATTTAAAAAATCATAGTTCATACACAATCAGACTTTCAGTGGTCTGTTTTATCCTTTCATCTTGTCCCCTTGTTTGAAACTTGTTATTCCGAAAATTCATAACCCTGTCGAATTGTGTCCCTCAAAATATTCAAAACTCTGTCAAAATATGCCCTCCTAAAAAATCTTGATGGCGCAACCTGCACCATGAAACTCCCTTCTGGGCACCCCTGCAAACCGGTACCTAAACAATAATCCCATCAAATTTTATCTTACCATTAAAAACCTTGAAATACCCTCTAATAAAATTTTCTTGTAAAAACCATGTATCCAATACCTCCCATTATTATTTTTTTTTCACCTTAGAGTGACTAAATTACTTTTGTTAGGTATTTCCATTTGAAGCCCCTAAGCTTCTGGTTGCTTCATTAATATTCCCCCACTTTGACTAATTTTGTACAATATATAGTGGTGTCTTTGGGCACAATGAAGAAAACTAAAATGGTTTATAAATTTCTTTGTACATTTCCTCTTTGGGATCCCAAAGGACGCCTCTGTCTCCCATTTTTCTGAAGAATTGAAGTGCTTTATCCTACCTACTATTGTAAGTATTTTCTGGCATCTTTCCTCTTCTAAGTCATCCAATCCTGCCATCCTCCATACATCTTTGAGCTCCTTCAATTCAAATCTTCAGTTCGTTCCCACAATAATTGCTTTAGGTCTTCAGATCTGTATACCACAGCCCACTGAACTGCAGTGTTCTACAGATATTTTATTATCCAATCTTAAGTTCCCATTGAAAAATCTATTCATAAGTCTCTTCAGCCTTTCACCGAGATCAAGCTAAAGACCACCTTATATCAAGTGCTTATGCCAAGAGGGGAAAGATGAGAGAAGAAACTAAGAGTCCACACTTAAGTTTGGGTAGGAGATGGTGGAAGTGATGGAATAATGGAATAATAGAGTTGAAATTGATCGTTGGAAGACCTGGAAAATATGATGATTTCAGGAGATGGTTTGGTAAATGATAAAGCCTGATTTTTTAACTAAAGAACAAAAGGTGATAGGATGGTCAGTTACGTATAGTGTGAAAGATTGGTATTGGATCTAAGAAGAGGTTTGGAACCATTGACAATTGCCTGAGTTTTAGTGACATTTAACTTTAATCCAGTGTTTTTATTATGAACAGTGGCTTTTCTAAGAGGCAGAAAAAACTGAATTCTGAAGAGA